CCCCAGAATATTTAACATCACCAAGAGTTGATAGAAGACATAATAGAGAATGTTCTACAACTGCTTCAAATATAGTTGCTTAAGACAATGATGTGTTTTTTCTTATAATTGTGTAGGTCATGTGTTCTCAGTTGGCTACTGCCCACCTGATATGGTCTGGGGTCTCTTGTATGGCTCTGTTCATCTCAATTCACCTGAGACTGGAATACCTTTGATTACTTATCTTTCTGGTGTTTCAGATAGGATAGCCAGACTAGCTGGGTGCACATGAAGCCTTTATCTATATAGGTCACTCATGTAGCAGTCAAACCAAACTGTCTTTACATAGTAGCTAGATCCAAAAAGTAAATGTGGAAACTGCGAGGTGTCTTAATGCTGAGGCTCAAAAGTGGGACATAGCCACTTGTCTAGCCTTTTGATCAAAGCAAGCTGCAAAGCCAGCTCAAATCAGGAGGAGGAAAAATAGACCCCGCCCTTTGGTAAGAGGAACTGTCAGTGTTTGACCCCGCCCTTTGGTAAGAGGAACTGTCAGTGTTTATCTGTAGAAATAGTAACAAGAAAATCTTAATTCAGTTCAAATCTGGGCTGTCTGAATAGATAGCCTTTACAGGTAAAGGCACTTGCCACCAAGCTGATGACCTGAGTTCAGTCCTCAGAACCCACAGGGAGGTCCTTTGATTTCCATACATGTCTTGGGTGTGTTCGCCCATACATTCGAAATAAATATACAAATGTAAAAACTTTGCATTGAGATCTTATTTTTTCTACACTTACCAAATCTTCAGTTTTGCTAAAACCAACACTTTCCAAAGAGATTGTTTGAGACAAGGGACCTTATAGTTTGTAGTCAGGATGGGGGACAAGGAGAGAGCATGCATAAATGTGATCACATACTAGCTATTTAATAAAGTCTCTGTGTCACAAACCCCCTAGTCCTCTGCACAAAATGTTTGTTTTGTGGTACTTTACAGTCACAAGGCTTTCATTCATGTGGTAAAAGCCTATTTTGACTGTGGACATTCTGGAAAAAGAAAAAGGAGAAGGAGGAGAAGAAGAAGAAACAACTTCTGTTCACTTTTACTGAAACTTTCACTTTTCATCGCTGTGGATAAAAGTTGGGATTAGTGTGAAGTTGTCAAATCAGAGGCCCATTCAAAGGGGCTCAACTGTCAATGAGGCTCGGAGCTTCTCTCGAGCTGTGACTTAGAGGACCCCCAGGAAGTATTGGGCTAGATGATCTCATGTCCGTTATCTACCTGTGAATTTTAATTGCACAATTTAAAGGCCTCTGTATCACTATGTTTTTCTGTATACCTTCCTCGCTGTATCACTGGACTTTTGAACAGAGGACTTTATACTAAGATATCACATTTCCTTCCCTCTGGACCTGTGAAACGCTTGTTGAAGCGCTTTACGGGCAAAGGTTTGTCCTTTCAAACATGTGTCACCTACAGGGTGATGGTATATGTGTGTGAAGAATGGAAGTAGATGAGCCTGTGTGGCAAGCCCTACGTGGGCTGCCGGGAGTGAACTAGGGTTCCTAGGAAAACTGCTTAGGAAGATCCGCTTCCCAGAACTCTGCACTGCGGGTTCACGCCAGCGTTTAGTGTGGAGACTTGGCAAATGTTCCACTTGCACTGCCTCTTTTATAGTTAACACTTTCCGAGTTCTGTTATTACCTTGAGTCTACTTGTTCTGTGAAGTAGGCTCTGTTCCATGTAACAAACATGAAGACAGATGGCCGTAAACACTGGACAGTGTCGCACGCACGCACTGTGTGAGCGTTTTACAGCAGGAGGTGAGGACATGACATAGAGCAGGCATACAGCGCTGCTGTGGGAATGCTAGGGAGGTTTTCCTGAGGAGTGTGGAGTACACACAGTGACCTGCTTTTACTTTCTTACATCTGAAGTGGATGATCTTAACAATCCAGCTTGCAGGTTGTATAGTATACTGCTTGCCTCCAATCAAAAAGACTAACAATAACCATTTAAAAAGCCTGGACGCTGGGTCCTGGGGTCCCTTTCTCAAGTGTAAAGGAGCAAGGGGGATCCTCCTAAGGAGCTGTATTTCTGAGCAGGGAATTAGGAACTATGTCTAAGGCAGTTTAAGGCAGAATGTAGTTATGCAGTGGTCAGGAGGGAGGTGGGGAGGGAGTAGAATGCCCTTGGAGGTGGGCCTTGAGAGAAGGGTTAGGCTTTAAACAAGAGGTAAGGAGAAAGGAGGTGTTTTAAGGGCATCGAGGCTGAAGAGAACCAGCATCACTGAGTTAGCTCATCAGTGGAAGCCCAGACAGACAGTCAGATGGCTGCCTCACTCAGAACATTCAGAGTAAGGCTTTAAGGCCCTGTTAAGGAATTTTGAGATTCAGGATGGTCGAGGGACTAATTAGGCTCTATTGAAGCCTGCAGGTCCAGAAATCTGTTCTTTCCAGGGTCCAGTAGGAGGTGCTGAGCACTGCAGAGTACTAGTGGCTGGGGTTGTGGAAGTGGAAGACAGTGGCAAAGAACAATGCCAAGTCATTGGCAGGTATGTGGGCACAGCCGGTAACCCCCCCACTCACCACACTGAGATGGCTGTGGGTTCAAGGCCAGCCTGGACTACGCGGTGAGGCCCTGTCTCAAACACTTTCTCTCCGCCTTTCAAACAAAGACGAAAGAATAGTGACATACTGCGTGCAGTCTTAACTTATTTTACCTGGAGATGGCAACCCATCAGTCACAAACATGAAAAATCACCTTTTTCCACATCTGCTCTCACTCTAGAATAGTGATAATGTTAGTAACAAGTGAATTCTTCAGTTTCCCCAATATAAGTTTCTGTTCGGCCTGAGTAGATGAATTGTTTGCAGCCCTGAGATGATGAGTATGTTCTTCTGAGGCCTTTTCAAAAGGTAATGATATTTCAAAACCTACACAAAGTTTACAAACTGGCTTTCAGATTTGAACCTTTTTGTCTTAATTTGGGGGCTTCTGAAACTTGCTGTTGTGTTGGTGATTAGACGGAGATGACTGGAGTGTATAGCTCAGTGTTGGAGCACTTGGTCAGCATTCCCAAGGCCCTGGGTATCATTCCCAACACAACAAACAGAACAAGCCTGATGGGGTGGTACATGTCTACACTCCCTGCAAGTGTGTGTGTGGTGGGGGGGGACGGGGACAGAAAGATTGCTTCAGGATCAAGGCCAGCCAAAACAAAACAAGTTTGGAAGTGCTGTTTTTATATTATGAGGGAAGATTATTCTCCATAAAATATGCACAACCATTAGATATGTATTATCAAAGTCTCGTTAGCCAAACTTTAGACCCAAAGTGCATTCTATAGACAGGAAAAGCCTGTTTAGCTGCCCCCTTTAGCCAGAACTGTCCAGTGCTCATCTGTGACTCTTTGGGGGTGGAGGTGCTAACGATGCTGGTGCATCTGTTTCCTCTATCACTACACCCCGCAATGTGTATTGTTGAACAAATGAGTGAAACAACAGTATCATTAGGGCTAATATTGAAATCCACTCTCCTAACACTGCTGTTGTGCATAATTACCAGGAACTGCTTTTACTGAGTTCCATGCCAAATCTGATACCATCACAATTACATTGTAGCATAATGAAACCTATTACTTTGTGTGCTAACTTAAAAAATAACTAAATAAAAACAATTACATTTTCAGTTGTACTCACACAGCTTTGGTTCCAGCTTAACCGTGTGTGTGATGAGAAATGGTGGTGAGACAGAACAGGTGGCTGGGGATAATTAGGTGTGACTCCAACTTTCACTTTCTGCTTCCTTCATGAAAAGAACAGGAAGGATTGGTTGAGAGTGAACGTCTCATCAGCTGGCTCAGGGCAAGGCATTGCTCACAATGTTGCTCTTGGGTTGTTTCCAGTTGTGAAGGAAGCAGCCTCAAATTTAGATGGGAGTGTCTCAGCTCAATAGTTGGCTCTGTTTTTTGTATTGGTCTTATTTCTTAGATCAATGGTTTGAGTTGTTGAATGAATTGCAGAACGCAGCGACACCCTGTTATCTTCCTGTCATTCACGTTGTCCCAGTGCCGTGTCGTACAGGCTGTTGGCAGACGGCAGAGTGAGCTTGTGCACGGTTTGAAATGGCCTTGTGGAGCTACACATTGTAGCCTGTGTCTATAATCACAGCACTTGGGAGCTATTAGCAGGAAGACCGGGAGTTCAGCCTAGAACTACATGAGACCTGGTCTCAAAAAACAAACCAACAAAGCCCAGTGCAGTGGGAAGCAGTCTCAGCATGCAAATACAATTGAATTGTGTGTTTCAACACCCTCTGTCTTGCTCACACCATTCAAGACATAGCAATGTTGCTATGGTTCAAATTTCACACGCTGTCTAATCATATTCTGTTAACAGCCAGATGGTAAAGGGGAGTGGTTTTCCTTCACTTAATTCATCCAGATTGGATTATCCATATTTTACCAGGAAAAATAATTAGTGGAGGTTTGACCAAGGAGAGTACGTGTCTGAGTGTTGTGCTTAATCACATGAACACAATGTGTCTTTGTATTTGAAAAGGAGGTAGGCCTCTGTCCTGGACTCTTGTTGGTATTCTTGGGAGTTCCTGTTGTTCAGGGTAACAGAAAACTTACATGTGGAAGGGAGCTGGGAAAATTATCAGACGTGACAAGGATTCACTTATGGATTTGGAACAGTAAAACTTGGGAGTTAAGAACTATGCATAGCTCAGTGTTTTGCTTTTTGTTTCCCTCCCTCGTTTTGATAATTTTTGGAAATATATATAGCAGCCAAATGGCTCCTAGATGATCGCACTTCCTAATTAAAATGGGAATGTGTTTCTTAGAATTTTCCATGTACCCAGTATCCTTCCTAGGTCTTTCCCACACTGTTTTTATTAATGGGCCTTCTCAACGGAGGATTAGCAATCAGTCACTAACAGGGTAAGTAACGTATCTTGCAAACTGTGGAGGTAGAAGGACAGACTTCCTGATCTGATCGTGCTCTCTGCTTTGGCCTGCAGGAATTGTGGAGGTACTGCAGTGAAGAAATCGGTAATCATGGAATCGCCTTGCTGATCATCAGCACCTGTCCGCCCTGCTGAGCTGAGAGCAAGTGGGTCGAGGAGGAGGAGGAAAGGCCACCATGAAGCTAAAGCAGCGTGTCGTGCTGTTAGCAATACTCCTAGTCATCTTCATCTTCACCAAAGTTTTCCTGATAGACAACCTGGATACATCAGCGGCCAACCGAGAGGACCAGAGGGCTTTTCACCGAATGATGACTGGCTTGCGGGTGGAGCTGGTGCCTAAATTGGACCACACCCTGCAGTCTCCTTGGGAGATTGCGGCCCAATGGGTGGTGCCCCGGGAAGTGTACCCTGAAGAGACACCAGAGCTGGGAGCAATCATGCATGCCATGGCCACTAAGAAGATCATTAAAGCTGACGTGGGCTATAAAGGGACGCAACTAAAAGCTTTACTGATCCTTGAAGGAGGACAGAAAGTTGTCTTCAAACCTAAGCGGTGAGTCGTCATCTTAGAAGGTGTGTGCTGGGTGTTGATTCATTCACCTTGGGCTTTATATAAGAGTGTCCTCCCTGCTGTTCTTTTCAGTAAAAAGACAGCTGGACTGGAACATCTCCAAAGTCTAGTGCTGAAGGTCAGTGATTCTCTGAGTGGAAGGGACCTATGGAAACCTGTTCTGGTTCCTTCAAGCCTGTTCAGAAAGCCAGCTGTGGTGGTTGAGTCCTGTAGTCTGAGCTCAGGAGGGTGAGGCACAACCTGGGCTATGTATAGGAAGGTCTAAACAAACAAGTGAATTTTTGAACAGAACTAACCTTGATTTCTCTGGGGCTTTGTTTGTTTTGAGACGTAGTCTCACTGTATAACTCAGGCTGGCCTGAACTTGGTGAGCCTCCTGTATCCTGCAGGCCTGAGCTTCCATGCCTGGCTGTTGATTTCTAGTGTGCTAAATATCTTCAGTGCGGCAGGTGCCAGATACAAAATGAACTGAGTAGAAGATAAACAGTTTGTTGACCCCCGCCCCCCCAAGAATAACCAAAAGCTGGATAGCCAGAGATCAGGAGCTGCAGAGTTTGAATGAGCCCGGAATGGGAGAGGTCAGTGCGGAAGCAACGACTCTTACGTCTAGGGCTTCCTTGTGTTTTGTTTGTTTTCTTGAGCAGTTTCAGGTTCATGGAACATTTTAAGAAAAATACAGACAAATCCCATTAACTACCTTTTCCTCCAGTTTTCTCCTGTTATTAATGTTGTTCATTAATCCAATTGATGAGCCAATGATAGTCTGTTGATTAAAGTCCATTGTTTGACTGGACATAGCAGCACACACTTAATCTTAGCACCACTTGGGAGGCAGAGGCAGGTGGATCTCAGAGTTTGAAGCTAGCCTGGTGTACTTAGTGAGTTCCAGGACAGCCAGAGCTCCATAGTGAAACCCTGTTTTGAAAAAACAAAAACCAAAAGAAAAAGAAAATTAATTAATTAGGGTTCACTCTTTAGGGCTATATTCTGTAGATTTAGGCAAATGTCTGTCACTGTAATATCTTGTGGTTCTCAGCCCTAAAAGTCTTCTGGGCTCTACCCTTCCCTCTCTGCCCTTGAACCCCTGACACCCACTGCCCCTTCTATTGTTTTCATAGCTTCTGTGACCAACAGAACATGGCGATTCACATTCTTCTACCAGAAGTTAGTCAGCAACAAATGTTGTTAGAGTCTGGCACTGAACATTTTTTTTCATCTCCCAATGAAACTTTAGAGAATCATACCTTTAGACTTCTTGCTAGAGTGGAGGGAGTAATATGAGGGAAAGATGTGTAAAATATAATTCCCTTATTATGCATTTATTAACAGATTAAAAAGGCACCTGGGGTATGGATCCACTTAGAATCCCAGAAATGAAAGAGGTCAGTATTTGTCTGGACCTGGGAAGTACTGGGCAAGTTAAAAAAGGCAGTAGAATCCAGATGTGTTGGAGCACCCCTTTAATCCCAGCACCCAGGGGGCAGAGGCAGGAGAATCTCTGAATTTGAGGCCATCCTGGTCTACTTAGTAATTTCTAGGACAGCCAAACTGTATAACGCGACCCTGTCTCGAAAAACAAACAAACAAAATTCAGGAGAGCTGTTACGGTTGTGCAAACCTGTTATCCCAGCACTTGGGAGGTAGGCCTTGAGAGCAATTTCTGTTGAATGCACACCATTTGCCAAGCGTCACACCAAATCCTGTTAACGCCCGAGTCAGTTCAGTTCCTATTTCCATAGTAAGAAAACTGATTTGACAAAGTTGCCTCATAGTAGTTTAGTGGCGCTGGAGTTTGACCCTAGATCCATCGAATTTTAAACAGCTTGTCTTCTCCCATACAGTTTCTTTGTTTGCTTGGTGATGTAGAGTACCCATCATGAAAATAAAACAATGACTAACTTAGGGTCTTGTGTGTGTGTGTGTGCATGTGTATGCACATGTGCCGTGGTGTGTTTGGAAGTCAGAGGACAACTTGTGGCAATCAGTTTTCTCCTTCCACCATGTGGGGCCCAGGAATGGAACTCATGTCATCAGGCTTGGTGGCAGATGCTGTCACCTGCTGAGCCGTCTCATTGGTCCACTTAGTTCATTTTGAAGTGTAGTTCTTGATCTCTTGGTTTGTAGCTTAAAGGATCAATAGCATAGGCAGAGTATTGGGGTATGGGATGAAAAATTCTATGGAAAGAAATTATGACTGTTGTATGTTTAAGTGATCCACAGCCACTATTTGTAGACTAGAGAATAAAAGATGATATGGGATTAAGTATGTTGCAGACAGATATTTCTGGCAGTTGTAGACTGTAGATTTTACAGACATGCCCGCAGTGTTCAAGGAAGGTATAATAGAGGCAGAAAGACCAGGCTGATGAGTAGGAGAGGTGGCAAGAGGTACATGTGGAAGCCCTGGTCGCTCTTGCTTCATCTCATGTCTTTGTTATTACTCTGTACCACACACTGCCTTCCTCTTCCAGATCCTGAATGACATTCCACTCTTCTCCTCCCCCTTCTTCTTCGCCAGGGTCTCACTTGAAGCCCTGGCTGGCCTGGAACTCATTATGTAGGTCAGGGTGGCCTTAAACTCAGAGGTCTGCCTGTGTGCTCCCCCCCCCCCGCCCCCATGCTGGTATTTAAGGTGTGTGTCACTATGCCTGGCTCCCTCAGCTTTAAAATGTTCAAGGTCTTCCCGTTGTGCCCCAGACAGCGCATCCTCTCCAGCCTGATAACAAGGGGCCCCAAAGTCTGGCCTTCCTGTCTGACGCTCTCAGCCTTACTCTCCCTTGGCTCTTTGTCCGGCTTGGTGGAGCCCCAACTCTTCCCTGCCGTCTCCTGAACAGCCAGTTTCTACTCCCTCCCAGGGCAGCCTCCTCTTCTACCAGCACGGTGGATGGCTTGGGTGAAAGCGTTGCCTCCCTCAGTCGCTGCACACACTAGTGTGTGATCTAACTCCCGATGCTGTCACAGACAAGGGAGACTGGGTGTGGGTGGAGGTACTTACAGAAAGTCCTTCCAGACCTTGAACACTTAACAAAGGACTATTCTGACCTCTAGGGTCTCAAAAGCTACACATCGCCCTGCTGTAAGTGCAAGTTAATGTCCTCGCTCAGACGCTGACGTCCTTCACTAGAAAGACAGGAGTGATTTTATTGGCAGTTACTGTATGAATTCTGCTCCTCTGCCAGTGACTTAAGACGGAGCATTTCCTGTTTTGAGGAGAATCTAAATCTAGTGAAGACATGCACCTTCCTTTCTTTAATAGCCTCTGTGGTCTTAGCTTTCTGGAGGTTGGTTCACACCCTCCTTTCAGAAGTGTTACATATAACTTTCAGGAGTTATATATAGATAGATGACATATACAGGGGTACAGTATAATACTATTATTTATGTTTTTTACTACATTATAAAAGTGATCTCCTCCCCCCCCCCCAATTTAGTTGTATCCATTCTAGAAGTAAATTTGAGTTTTACAGGCAACAGCTGCAGTTAGATTGGAAAAAGGACATAAAGCAGGGAGGGACCTTAGACTAGGTAAAAGTGAGGGAATGATCTTAGTGCATGCTGAAAGGGCCTTTGGAGATTCCAGGTGAGGAAAAGGAAACCCAGAATCCTAACTTTCATATTTCACGTAGTTAAAACATGAGCAAAGAATTGAGACCGCGGGGCTAAGAAGAGGCTCACTTGGTAAGTGTGCTCCTCAGAACCCACATAAGAAACACCAGGCATGGGCTGGGGAGATGGCTCATGGGGAAACTGCCAGCTGTGCGAGCATGAGGACCTGAGCTGGAGCCAGGAGTGGTGACCGCAGTCCCGGTACTTCGGAGGTAGAGCCAGGTGGCTGTCCAGGGCTTGCTAGCTCCCAGTCAGCTGTCTTAGTCACTGTTCTATTGCTGTGAAGAGACACCGTGACCAAGGCAAACCTTACAAAAAAGAAAGCATTGAATTGGGAGCTTGCTTACAGTGTCAGAGACTGACAGAGAGCATGGTGTCGAGCAGGCATGGTGCTGGAGAAGCAGCTGAGAGTTACATCCCAATTCACAAGCAGAGAGAGAGAAATGGAGACAGACAGGGCCTGGCCTGGGCTTATGAAATTTCAAAGCCCCCCTCAGTGGCACACTTCCTCCAGTAAGGCCATGCCTACTCCAACTAGACCACACCTCCTAATCCTTGTAATCCTTTCAAATAGTACCACTCCCTGATGACTAAGCATAAGAGTCTATGGGAGACATTCTTACTCAAACTATCACACTAGCTAAAGCAGCAAGCTTCAGATTCAGTAAGAGACTGTATCTCAAAAATAATAAGGTAGGATGCAGTAGAGGAAAGATATCCCTGCATCAGCCTCTGGCTTCCACACACACTCATACAGGTGCGTGCATGTGCGTGCACGTGTGCGTGTATGTGTGTATACAAAGCCAGGCATGGTGATATATGCTTGTAATCTCAGTACTGGGGAGGCAGAGTCAGGGGGATCCCTGAGACCCACTTGCCAACCAATAAGTTCCATATCAATGAAAAATTGATTACAAAAAAGTTAGGTGGGACTGGAGAGAGGCTCAGTGGTTAAGAGCACTGGCTGATCTTCCAGAGGTCCTGAGTTCAATTCCCAGCAACCACATGGAGTCTGATGCCCCCTTCTGGCCTGCAGACATACATGCAGATAGAGCACTCATACATAAAATACACATACATAAAATTTAAAAAGAAAAGAAAAAAGTTAGATGGTGCTTAAGAAATGATATCACAGTCATCCTCTAGCCTCCACAGGCATGTACACACATATGCATACACACCCATACAAATTTGTGCACATACACAAAACGTACAAACATACATCGCAGAATTCTGACCTGACTCCAGTGTGGTTCCTTCATTTGATTCCTACTCCTCTTTGCTATCAAGCTTACCCTTAAAGTTTCCAGATGCCTCTGAGCTCATGCCCTTCCCTCGGCAGCCTTTAGGATTATTGGCAAGGTCGGTAATTCTTCAGCGGAAGGAAGTACTGCGCTGAGCTCCTGAGATGTATTCAAGGGCTGTTCCCCAGCTGTCTGGCCACCTACACCTGTGGTAGAGAGAAAAAGTGCTTGCTAGAGTGTCAGCTTTGGTGCAGTGGTATTTTTAAACTGACAATTTCAAGGCAGCCAGTCTAAAGCTGAGAAGCCTAAGTAATTACTTGTGCTAGGAACTTTAATGCCTGGTGTGCGAATCAGGCTGAGAAGAAACTGATGCCACCAAGATAGTGATGTACGCTGGCCTTCTAATAGGCCTTCATCTTTTTGCCTTGAAATTATGCTTTAGAGGTAGGGTTCCACCTTGTGTTCTAAGATCACTGAAGGGCGGTACCTTTTGCGCTTCCATTTCCCACTTGATCACTGTGTGTGTGCATCGGAAATCCTGTGTTCAGTGGAACTGCTCTGCACTGGAGTCGAACTTCTCTTTCCCAGGCTGCTTCTAAAGCCCTATAGGTCCCTGCTGACTCAGGAGTGCAGGTGAGCAGCTGTAGGTGAGCTAAGTGCTTTTTCCTTCCTGGTTAACAAGTTTAAATTGTATCTGTAAAAATGAGTCACTGAGTCAGGCGGTGGTGGCGCCCGCCTTTAATCCCAGCACTCAGGCAGAGGCAGGCGGATCTCTGTGAGTTCAAGGTCAGCCTGGTCTACACAGAGGAAACTTTAAAAAAAAAAAAAAAAAGGCATTGAAAGAAACCTTCCAGTTTGTTTTTTTGTTTTTCCACATACGTTGGTGTTTTGCCATGGGTGTTGGGTCTCACAAACTGGAGTTACAGACAGTTGTGAGCTGCCATGTGGGTGCTGGGAATTGAACCAGGGTCCTCTGGAAGAGCAGTTAGTGCTCGTAACCACTGAGTCATCTCCCCAGCCCTCCAGTTTTCCTTTATGTCATGCCTGTGGCGTAAATCCATCAGAATGCTGTTTAAGATGAAAGAGACCTTAGAAATACTTTGGTGCAGTTCCTGGTCTTACAGATAAGAATCTCTAGACACAGAACAGAAAGGGTTTGCTCAAGGCTAGCCTATCACTGCTAGTCCAGGATAAACTTGAAAAGAGAGCAGGAATGGTTATTCAGACTGCTGTTGGCAGAAGTACCTTTGCCATCTCATTAAACAGAGGTGTCAGGAAGAGCTTCCCCCTGCAAATTTAAAGTCTCCTATAAGCCTTACAGTAGGCATTCTGGTAAGCAAAGGTGTTCTTTGCTTTTTTAGTTATGTTAATAAGCATTTTAAGACATTTACTAAGCAGCACAACTCTGAGTGAAATACTATGCTAGAGATACAAAGATGGTTCTTTCTTTCTTTCCAGAAACTCACCTTGTGGTTGTTTTACTTAAACTACACTGGCCGGGTGGTGGTGGCGCACGCCTTTAATCCCAGCACTGGGGAGGCAGAGCCAGGCGGATCTCTGAGTTTGGGGCCAGCCTGGAGGGCCACACAGAAACCCAGTCTCCAAAAACCAAAAAACAAAAGAAAACAAACAACCCACTCCATTCCACCCCCCCAAAAAAACCACTGCACCGCAAGACTTTTTTAGAAGTAAACCCAATGTCTTCCATGTTTTGTTCAAAGATTGACTGCTGAGGTAGAAACAGGGTCTGGTTTTTGTCTGAACTCATCTCTTCATCTACCAGCCGTGTGTGCGAACACCCGGATCTCAGGGTTGACGGGCGTGGGGACAGGTCAGGCTTGTGGAAGTGGTTCTCTACCTCTTGTCTGTCACTTCCGACGCTGACGTCATCCCTGTCTGTCTGCCTCCCGTCCTTGCAGGTACAGCAGAGACTATGTGGTCGAAGGGGAGCCGTACGCTGGTTATGACAGACACAACGCAGAGGTGGCAGCCTTTCACCTGGACAGGTGTGTACTCTCTTGTGGGTCCTTTTCATCGTCTCTTTCAGAGAGAACTGGGATTCCTTAAGGAATGAGAGATGTGGCAATAACATGGGCATGGTCCCTGTTCATAGCTTATGAATTAGTGCCATTATAGTTCTGTAAATACCCAATATTTGGGTGCTGCCTTAAAAAACCACACTAAATCTTTTTAAGACGTTTATTTTTCCTATGTGTATACATATATATATGAGTGTATGAGTAGTGTTTTGCTTGCATGTATGTCTGTGCATCGCATGTGTGTCTAGTGCCCAGGAAGGCCAGAGGAGGGCACTGGAGTCCCTGGAACTGGAGGTACAGATGGGTGTGGGCTGCTGTGGGGATTCTGGGAACCACATCTAGGTCTTCTGCAAGAGCAGCAAGTACTCCTAGCCAGAGCCATCTGTCCAGCCCCAACAGGGCTAAGTATTTTTAATCCCAGACTTTTACTTCCTATTACTTCACTTCATTCTTGGCGTGCCTTATGTCATGGTTGAAGATATTAATTGGGCCTCGTAGCCTTCCTGTTTTGTTCTGTTGTGAGTAATACTGATTTATTTATCCCCATAACTGAACATACATAGCATGGAATTGAGAATGGGTTTGTTGTTCTTTATACAAAACATACACAGCTTCAAAAATCAGAGTAGTTTTTTTTTTTAAAGAAACAACAACAAAATCACCATGACTTGTAATATATGACTAATATAAGTAGCTAGTTGTGGTGGCACACACCTGTAATCTCTGTAGAAACGAGACAAAGACACAAGGACTGGGAATTCAAGGCTGGTTTGGGCTCCATAGTGAGATTAAAACCAACCTCTACATAGCAAGACTTCCTCTCAGAAAACTGGGGATATGGAGACCCTCTAGAATGATGGATACTGTTTTTATAGGTCCCTCTTAGCCAACTCTGGTATCCCAATTTCTCCTCACCTATACTCTTTCCAGTCTGACAACACTAAGAGACATGATTATGGGCTCAGGCGGGAGGTGGCTTGAACCCCAACTGTGAAGGGACAGCAGGAGAAAGAGAAGCTTTTTAAAAACATATGAAGGAATCCCAAAAGAAAAGGCCAATTTTTGTCTTTTTCTGGGTTAGGAAGAAACTCATATTTTTGCGTACACACATTGTAGTAGAATATGGTCCTCACAAACACAGAGGACTGGGACTGGAGAGATAGCTTAGTAGTTAAGAGTACTTGTTGCTCTTCCTGAGGACCTGGGTTCGATTCCCTATACCCATGCAGCCGTCTGTAACCCGAGTTTCAGGGACTCCAACAGGCATGCAGGCTGTGTGCATACATACATGCAGGTAAAACATTCATACATATAAAGTGAAATAAATACTGTATTTAAAAAAGAAAGACCAGAAGCAGGCCTGAGCATGTGGTGCATACCTGTAATTCCTGTGCTTAGACAGCTAAGGGAAGAGAAGCAGGCGTTTGAGGCTAGCCTTGGCTAGTGTTTAAAGAAGACTAACATGGATAACTAAATAGTGTAGGTAGTAAAGAGTAACTGTAGTTATTAATGCTAATAAACGTGGGATAGGTTTCTTGTCACTAGAGATATTTAAAGATGCCTTTGGAACCATCACTTACTATTCTCACCTGCTGAAATCCCAAAGACTTCTTAAGGATAATGTTTTATTGTCAGGAATTTATTGAATTCATATACTACTTAGAGCATTGTTAATTTTGTCGTTGTTTTATATCAGAAATATTACTGTTCGTAGACTTTGAATGAATAACTACCTTTTAGTGCACATATCTAAAATATTTCTAGGAAGTACTATGAAAAGAAAAAAGAAAAATTTTAAGTATATAGATACACGTATATCTTACTAGCATTTTGTAGTTGAGAAAACTTGATAAGAACTTAGTATCTCTAGATAGGGAAAAAAATTAAATGACTGCTTATAATACTATAAATGTTTACAGCCTTTTAAAGGTCCAACTCCTCATTTAATGGCATACTAGAATTAGACTGTTCAAACCTTATCTGTCTACTTTCTTCCCTCCAAACTTTCTGGTTTCTGTTTATTGGACACGAGCAGATCATGAAGAAAGCCTTATTTCCTCACTTCTGGATCAGTATACCCAACATAGTGAATTTCATCAGTCTAATGTGTGTAGAGTGATATATCATTATTATTTTATTTTGTTACCTCCCACCCCCAATTATTGGCAAAATATATCTTTTCATAGCATTAGTTTGTTAAATAGTGAAGTATTCTCTGTATAGGTATGGTTACTATTAAGCCAGGTATGATTGCTTCTACCTGTAATCCCAGCACTTGAGAGGCTGACACAGGAGAATTGCCTTGAATTCACAGGTAACCTGGGCTACAGTGAAATCCTGTTTAGAAAGAAAGAAGATAAGTGACATGCATGTGATGTTTATACACACCTGTGTGTTTACGCAACTGTGAGAGAAAATGCTTATGCAAAATGTCAGTTGCCAGACTTAGGACTTAGGATGCTGTTAGTTTTCAAGTTCTGGACCTCTAAATTTTCTTGAGGGAATGTGTATTTTTTTTTTTTAACCAGGAAATGTCATTTTAAAAGAAAATAATAGGTGTGGTGGTACACAACTTTAATCCCAGCTCTTGGAAGCAAAGGATCTCTATGAATTTGAAGCCACAGTGGTCTGCCTAGCAGTTCTAGGCCAGACAAGGCTACATAGTAAGACTCTGTCTCAAAAACAACAGAGGTCCTTGCCATGCCAGGTGGCTGGCAGGGGCAGGACTCAAAACCAGGAGCTGCCTGGGGACTCCAGCCCTTGGCCATGATATAGCAACAGCTCTGCACCGTGCCATACATCTGGCTGGGGCACGATTCAGACAAGTGCCACCAGGTGCCTATGGTACGGGCCAGTCAGACACCATTATGGTGAGCTAATACAGGGTAGGAGGTGGAAGAGAGGTGGAGCAGTTAATGGGCTGAGGAGAGGCAGGTCTGAAGAGGTGAGGGCAGTGAGACACAGGCTAAGGCGAATGGCCTGCTTGCCACCTGAGTCCAAGGTGATGCCTGGGCCTGGACTATTGCTAAGGGCCAGTCTTGGTCTGATACCCTGAAGCAGCTAAGGAGGCATGAGTTGATGTCTGTGGCTCCTGTCGTCACTGAGGACTGTGCAGAGAGCTGTGGTCTGGGCCACCACCTGGGACCAGATAGGTGTCCGAGGGCCGTGCTGCCGCAGGGGCCCTGCTGATCCAAGTGGTCTGCACTGGCGTCTGGGGCCATGGTGACATCCGGGCCCAGGCTGCTGCCAAGGACCATGTCTGGGTCCGTGGTCCTACCACAGCCAGGGTATTTGTTGATGTCCGGTGGCCCATGGTGCCACCAAAGGCCACATAGATGCCCCGGGTCTAGGTCACAACCTGTGGCCATGTTAGTCTCCAAGGGCTAAGCCACTACCGGGCCATGCCAAGTTGAATGGCCTGCGCTGTCAACTGGGGGCCAGAGTGTCATCCAGGGTCTGAGTGGATGTCCATAGCTCCTGAGACCATTGGAAGCCATGCTAATGCCAGGGGTCTGGGATGCCACCCGGGGCTGTGCTTAACCTGGTGGCCTTCGCTGCCATCTGGGGCCAGGGTGATGTATGAGCCCAGGCTGTGGCCTAGGACCATGTTTGGATCTGTGGTCCTACCACAGCCAGGGACTTGTATTGATGTCCATGGCCCATGTTGCCACCAAAGGCCACACCCCTCGCCTTGGGCATGCACCTCACCTGGGCAGCACATTAGAGCTACTCCAGTTGTCAAGGACACAGGTGAGCCAGCCCTGGGGGCGTGAGTACAGAAGAGCTGACCCCGTCTCCCCTCGTCTGCCGTGTGTTGGCTTGGGTGAGGGAAAGATGCCCTCCCTTCCCCACCCCTTGCTACCCATGGCGGGCGAGAGGGCTGGCCCTGGGGTCAGGAGAGGTGGAGAAGCAGCCTTGTCCCTCACCAGCTGCAGCACACTCAAGAGCGGACCCTCCACCCCACCAGGGCAGCACACTAGCGCCGATTCTGGTGGTGGTGGTGCAGGAGAGCCGGCCCTGAGGGTGTGAGAACAGCAGAGCTGACCCCGTCCCCCCTCGTCTGCCATGTGGTGGCATGGGTGAGGGAACAATGCCCTCTCCCTCCCACCCCTTGCTACCTGCGACAGGCAAGAGGGCTGGCCCTGGGGTCATGGGAATGGGAGAACTAGCCCTGCCTCTCACCAGCTGCAGTGCAGTACAGCTAACCCTGTTGTCAGGACTTAAAAGAGGCAGGAGAGCTGACTCATGACCCCCACCCCCCACCCCCACACCCCCACTCCCCGTCTGCCCCCTACGGGAATAGAGAGAGAGAGAGAGAAGGGGGCTGCACCTCCCCTAGGCAAGACAGTGGAGCTGGCCCTGCTGGCGGGAGTGTGGGTGATCCGACGCCGCGAGGACCTGAGAGCAGGAGAGCCGGCCCTGCTCCTTGCTGAGTGCTGTGTTGGGGGGGCTGGCCAAGGCAGTGATGGAGAGCTTACCTGGGTGGTGACAGTGGGGGAAAGCTGGCGGGCTGACCACCCCAGCTGCCACCCAGGGCCGGAACCAGGGCTATGAGTTAGCCTACCCCAGCATCCATCTCATCTGTGAACTGTTGGAGCATGTGAAGGGGATGAACCTACAGATCCAGAATTGCAGGATCCCATGACACAGGACAGCAAACCACAGGCTGTCCAAGAGTCCCAGTGAGGGCCAGTGTCGGTGGTGTGGCAGAAGGCAGATAGACCACTTCTGTGACGAACACTTGCAAGAAAAGATGAAAGGACTAAAGGGTTAGCGGTGTAACTCAGCAGCCACACTACAGCCTCCACGATGAGACTCTTCTCCCTTGGTTGGTTGGTTGGTTGGTTTCTGGTTTTTAAATTTTGGGGGCAAGTTGCAAGGGTGGAGGGCAGAGGAGGGGGATGGGGAGATGAGTGGGATTGGGATGCATGATGTGAAATCTGCAAAGAATCAATAAAAGTAGGAAAAAAACTAAACAGAAAAAGAAAAAGTATTTTCTAGTGTTTAACTATTAGAAAGAAAGGCCTTCGGATGTGTCCTTATTTAAACTGTCCTGTGGGCATGTTGTTTTGGTCAGTTCGCAGTTTGTCAAAGTTTTATCAAAGCTTTGAACCCATCTGAGTTTAAGCATGGTATTTTCTAATGCATTGTTAACATGTGTTTCTAGTTTTGATTATGAAGATTTTCTAGCAGAAGCAGAGGGCACTGTGATAAGCCCATATTCCTGTCCCGTGGACTTAACAGTTTCTTACACTTTTTGCTGACCTGTTGAGTAATGTACATCTTGGCAAACTCATGAACATATGTACCTCCCAAAACCAAGATTGACTCACCTACCTACAACCTTCAAAACCTTTTAATGGGATTGACCGTGGTTTCTGAGACTTAACTTAAAATACATCTCCAAAGACTTCTCTCTTCTCTCTTCAACCTTTAAAACTAGGATTCTGGGTTTCCGCCGAGCTCCCTTGGTGGTTGGCAGATACATTAATCTGAGGACGGAGATCAAGCCTGTGGCCACAGAGCAGCTGCTGAGCACCTTCCTAACTGTAGGTAAGAGATGATGGAGGATGTTTAAATAGGGGCATGGTCAGTAAGGTAAATAATGGGGCATCGTTGAACAAGCTAAAGCCTGCTCTCATGTTAGTGTGGGAATTAAGTCTAATAGTGAGAATGGGAAGTGAGAATTTCCCCCTACTACGTACTTCTTAAAGAAAGAAGTGAAGTCACGTACCAATAGTGAAAGTGGTAGCTGTTTCTGCTTAATCTTCCAGCTAAGTCTCAAATGGAAGATTTGCCCTAAAATGATACTGTGTGCAAATCATTGTCCTGGTTTTTGTTTTTGTTTTGTTTGTTGGTTTGTTTTTTCAAGACAGGGTTTCTCTGTGCAACAGCTCTGACTGTCTTGGAACTCACTTTGTAGACCAGGCTAGCCTCGAACTCACAGAGATCTGCCTGCCTCTGCCTCCCGAGTGCTGGGATTAAAGATGTGTGCCACCACTGCCCAGTGGTTTATTTTGTATACATGTGTTCTCTTGAGAACCTTCTCCTGAGAAGTGGGGAAGCCAGGGGCTGGGAGATGGCTCAGCTAGTAAAGTGCTTGCCATGCAGGCACGAAGACCTGAGTTCGGATCCCTGTACCAGGTAAAAACCAGGTATAGAAGGGGCACCTATAATTCCAGTGAGAAAACAGACAGGCAGATCCTTGGAGCTAACTATTCACCCAGTGTAATCAAGTTGGTGTTATGCTCCAGGTTCAGTGAGAGACCCTGTCTCAAAACATAAGGTGGAGAGCAATTGAGGAAGGCATTTGATATCAACTTCGGTCTCCATGTGTGTGCCCCTCTGAATAAACATATACACACATAAATAAATAGTAGAGAATTGAGGAAGCCTGAAGCAGCTCTGGAAGGCAACTAGAGTTCCACTGTAGAACTGCATTTGGGCCACTCCTCTCCTCCCAAGGATTAGTGTAGACCTCATGGAGCTCGGTATGACTCGCCGGCCCTGGTTCTCATTAGCCTACTGTGATGCAGGGGTCTGTCAGTCTTGTTCTCGTTGGAAGCATGGTAAAACAAGAAGAATTTAGAGGTGCTGTGTTCTCTTGTCTTGGTGACTTGGTGATTCAGTGTTCTTCGTGGCATAAATGTTGAAACAGACATTGAAAATGAACTTCACCTTGCTTTTTACTAGAATGAATACATTTATACTTAAAAATGAGGTTAAGCAATACCTGTCTCAGAAAAACAAACTACAAGGATGGTAATACAATATGGGAAACTCTGATTAATTTTAGTGACAAGGTGGCAGGAAATTCTAATGTTAGGGTTCCTATTGTCGTAATTGATTGAAACACTAAATTTCAGAAAGAGGTTTGTGAAAATAGTTGTAATTTCATTTCTACCCAGCTCACCCCACTAGCCCCCAAGTTAACATTGATCTAGGCTGAGGACAGATGGACAGGGTGATTAGGAGTACAGGAGGCACAAGTGTGAGCTCAAGGGGAAGGAGTGTGTGGGTTCGGCACTGAGGAGAGGAAGCAGTCAGGACAGGGTCACTGAAGGGCCTGTGCATCATGCTGAGGGGTCAAGGCTCCCCTCGGGCATTGGGGAGCTATTTAGAGAATCTGAACGTGAAGTAATCATATTTGAATTTACAAAGTTAATTTCGGCAGTATTGTAGATGGTGAATAGTGATGGGGGGAACGAGAAGATGAGAGCCCTGGCGGGCTGTTGAAGTGATTTCAAGAGACAGAACTAAGCTAAGGATGGGACAGAGGGATTAAGAGAGATTCACAAACTGGAATGTGAACAGTGTGATGAACATCTCAGCTCGGAGGAGCAATAAGCAGGGAGGGGAACTGAAGACTGACTCCACACTTCTAGATTGGATAGTCAAGTGAATACAGCAGTTAACTGAGGGGGGTGTGGAAAAGGATAACATGCAGAATGCATCTGATTTTGGATATTTTGTTTCAGGATCATCTAGGAGTTTATGTGAACTAGTCATTAGTATAGCTAACGGAGAAAAGCCTGAGATGGAGACTTAGATCTGATAGTTCACCCAAGGAGAGGAAGGAGAACTTCAATGATCAGAAAAGCAGTTTCATCTCTCTGGGCTGGAGAGATGGCTCAGAGGTTAGGAACACTGACTGCTCTTCCAGAGGTCCTGAGTTCAATTCCCAGCAACCACATGGTGACTCACAACCATCTGTAATGAGATCTGGTGCCCTCTTCTGGCCTGCAGAAATACATGCAGACAGAACATTGCATGCATAATAAATAAATAAATCTTTAAAAAAAAAAAAAAGAAAAAAGAAAAGAAAAGCAGTTTCCGCCGTTGAGTATGTCCAGGAGGTGGTCAGAGGCCGAGACTCAGGCTCACAGAGTGTAATGGGGATACTGAAGTCAGGAAAAGCACATTTAGCCCTATTATTGAGAGGAATCGATGCTGTTGATTGGTCTCACACTAAGCATTGGCATAGACATCTTTCCTTTTCACCCTCTGACAGCAGAGGAATGAGCATGCTTGAAGGGCTGTAATTACATGCTCGGCATGGTGCAGCCCCTTACTAAAGTAGTTTATATTTTATATAGCTCAGTGAGAGCACTTGCCTAGTATGCACAAGTCTCTGTGTTTGATCTCCAGCCCCACCTCCCAAATTTATATTTTAACTCCAGAAATCTGAATAAACCACATTAGATAAGAACCTAATACATTATACTTCTTTCCCTAAATAAGACTCTTATTTACCAAACTCAAGTGTTTGGATTTTACCCCATAGATTGTCTTAATTTCTTAGGTTTTTTTGTTTTGTTTTGTTTTGGTTTTTTGTGTGTGTTTTCATTTTTTTAATCAATAATTTATTCAGTTTGTTAACATGCATCAAGCATCACAAGGACTCCAGTAGCATGTTTTCCAATTCCTCTACTAGTGCTTTATTTCTTTTTATATACATACATGTTCATATTCAATACTACCTTCTACATACTATATAGTATACTATACATACTTTTGCATCTTATTCTTTCTTCTTAGCCTAGCAGTAACCTCTCTTAATAATGGTTTCCTTTTGTATGAATATAAATATATATTTATATTTAGTTCTACCATTCTACACAATCTACAGCATACTATTAATAACTTCTGCATCTCATTCTTTTTACTTAATATATTATAAAAAACCTTTCGTGCCGGGCAGTGGTGATGCACGCCTTTAATCCCAGCATTCAGGAGGCAGAGCCCGGCGGATCTCTGTGAGTTCGAGGCCAGCCTGGTCTACAAAGCGAGCTCCAAGACAGGAACCAAAGCTACACAGAGAAACCCTGTCTTGGAAAAACCCTTTCGTGTTACGTGTAAGAACTTCTCCATTCTTTTGTGTTTGACCAATGCATTGTTCAGAGTTCTCTAAAGGAACAGAACTGATAGAATGAAAAAAATATATAAAGGGCCTTTATTAGACCGGCTTACAGGCTGGGGTCTGAGGAGCTCAACAGTGGCTATCTCACAGTGGGAAGGCCAAGAATCCAGTAGTTGTTTAGTCCAGGACGCTGATGGACAGCAGTCTCAAGCTGGCAGTGGAGTCCTAGGGGAATCCTAGAGAGCTACTGGTCTTCAGTCTGCGTTGGAATCCCCAAGAAGTTAGTTCCAGCACCAGTGAAGGAATGTCTCAGCAACAAGGTAGATGGATTGCCAGCAAGAGTGAGGGTAAGAAGGCCACGCAGAAGTTTCCTTCTTTGTCCTTTTATGTGGGCTGCCACCAAAATGTGTGGCCAGATTTCGGGTGGGGCTTTCTGCTTCAAATAGTCTGATCAAGAAAACCCCTCACGGGTGTGCCTAACTTAGGTTTCAGTTGATTCCAGATGTACTCAAATTGAGGACCAAGATCACAACTAGTTACAAAGTGTTCTATTATATGAGTCTACCATAAATTCATATAACCAGTCCCTTATTGGGCCAACGTATTACTCCACTATTTTGTATTTACAACTATTGTTGCCCAGAATTACTTTGTACATATGCTACTTCACACATTAACAGAAATTTCCAAAAGTTGAAGTGCTAGGTCATGTGCATTTTAAATTTTAGTAGATGGTGGTCACATTACCCCTCATAGACACTTAACTACTTTACCTTACCCATGGACGATATATATGAGAACCCCCCCCCCAGTATCATTAATAATGCATCCTGAGCCAGGCAGTGGTGGCGCACACCTTGAATCCCAGCACACAGGAGGCAGAGGCAGGCAGATCTCTTGAGTTTTGAGGCCAACCTGGTCTACAGAGTGAGTTCCAGGACAGCCGGGGCTACACAGAGAAACCCTGTCTCCAAACAACAACACTAATAATAATGCATCCTAAACCTTTGGGGCTTTTGTCTGTTTGTTTCCTACGTAGCCTCTGTTCATTTAAGAGCCCTCTGTGTTCTCTGTCTTTGTATGTGCATGTGTTCAGGAAGGCTAGAGGGCAGCTTGGCTGCTGGTTCTCGGGCACATCTTCCTCGTGTTGTTTTTGAGACAGGGTCTGTCCCTTTCATGAAGCTCCCCAGCTGGACTGGTTGCCTAGCAAGGCCTAGAGATGAACCTGTCTCCACCTGCTTTTATTTCCCAGGTCCAGCACAGTATGTACTGCACAGAACCTAATCAACTACAGCACACCCCAAAGCTGTTACAGCTCTCTCTATGCCTTAAGATCTCTCTCTCTCTCTCTCTCTCTCTCTCTCTTTTGAGGAGGGGGAGTTCAAGACAGGGTTTCTCTGTGTAGCCCTGGCTGTCCTGGAACTCAATTCTGTAGACCAGGCTGGCCTCAAACTCAGAGATCCACCTGCCTCTGCCTCCCATGCTGGGATTAAAGGCGTGTGCCACCACTGCCCACAAACCTTAAGATTTCTTTAAAAACTTATTTCAACTAATTGAAAGTAACACATATAGAATGCTATAATTACAAAAATTGAAAATTAGAAATTTAACAACTGGATTACATTAGAAATACTAACAAATATTGAGTAGAAATAAACGAGACTATTTTAAAGGTCATAAGAAGTAAAAAACTGAAAATGATCCTAAAATAAGAGCAGAGAGCCTTTTGGTTGGTTGGTTGTTTTTTTTTTTTTTTCCGCTATTTAAAATTATTTATTTTTATTTGTATAGATGGGTGTTTTGCCTGCATGTATGTCTGTGTAGTGTGTGTGTGCAGTGCCCGTGGAGGCCAGATCTCCTGGAACTGGAGTTACAGGCAGTTGTGAGCTGCCATGTGGTGCTGGGAATTGAACCAGGGTGTTCTTAACCACGAAGCAATCTCTCCAGCCCCAGTTGACTGGTTTTACTTTGGTTTTTATTTTGAGGCAGGGCCTCTTTATGTAGCCCTGGCTGTCTTGGTACTCCCTATGTAAACCAACCTGACCTTGAACTCACAGAGATCCCACTGCCTGTGCTTTCCCCAAGTGCTGAGATTGAAGATGTGCACTACCATGCCCATCAAAAGAGGGACCATTGACTAGCTATCAGAATGTAAAAGGCCTTGGGGTTGAAGAGAGTATGAGCAATGGCTGCCCTTCCAGAGGACCTGGGTTCAATTCCCAGCATCCATCTTGCAGATCACAGCTGTCGAACATAAAATTAAATAAATTATTTTTTTAATAATGTAAAAGGCCTCAGCCTCCCAACCTAAGCATGGTAGTGGCATGCACTTATAGTCCCAGAGCTGGGGAGGTGTTATTTATACAGGGTACTCTACAACTATATTAATACCCAATTGCTTTCCTGCCCCCTCCCAATACTGGGTGGGGGGGTTTGACTCTAGAACCTCATGCATGCTAAGAATACTCTCTGCCACCTAGCATCCCATCCCCAGGCAGAACTACATAAATACTCCATTCCTTATCAAACTTTCATCCCCAGTTTTAGCACATTGATCATTTGTGTTAGAATCAGTTATTACGATAGTTGTGAAATGGTACTTTTTTTTTTTTTTTTTTTTTTGGTTTTTCGAGACAGGGTTTCTCTGTGTAGCTTTGCGCCTTTCCTGGAACTCTCTTTGGAGACCAGGCTGGCCTCGAACTCACAGAGATCCGCCTGGCTCTGCCTCCCAGAGTGCTGGGATTAAAGGCGTGCGCCACCACCGCCCGGCAAAATGGTACTTTTTTAATTCTGTTACTGCTTTGTTCTTTCTTGGTAGACATTCTGTTTAGAGAGAACTCCTCTCTCATGCATGTCTTTATTCATATCGTGATGAACTCACTGAGTTGGACTTTCTGAGTTGCAATTTCTTACTTTTTTTTTTTTTAGAGATTTATTTATTTATTATGTATACAGTGTTCTGTTTGCATGTATCCCTGCAGACCAGAAGAGGGAGCCAGATCTCATTACAGATGGTTGTGAGCCACCATGTGGGTGCTGGGAATTGAACTCAGGACCCCTGGAAGAACAGCCAGTGTTCTTAACCTCTGAGCCATCTCTCCAGCCCCAATAAGTGATTTTTGTTTTTGTTTTTGTTTTTTTTTTTTCTGAGACAGGGTTTTTCTGTGTAGTTTTGGTGCCTGACCTGGATCTCACTCTGTAGACCAGGCTGGCCTCGAACTCACAGAGATCTGCCTGGCTCTGCATCCCGAGTGCTGGGACTAAAGGCGTGCACTACCACCACCCAGCTTCTTACTTTTCTTTTTTTTTTATGTTGATATTCTGACTGCCACAGATGTAGCCATTGGGAACCCTACAGACCAGCTCAGGTCCTTGGAATGGTCTCATTGTTCTCTGAGTACTTCCTTACTGCTGGTGATGGCAGGGTAGTCCAACCTTCCCTGACTCAGCCCTGGAGGAGCTGCTGGTTCAGTGAGCCCCCATCTTTAATGTAGCACTAAAATGGTCTTTAGAAAAACGATATGTGAAGCTGGGCCTTGTGGTTTAAGCCTCTAATTCTAGCTAGTTGGGAGGTTGTGGCAAGAGGTCTTGCAAGTTCAAGGCCTGCCTCAAAAAGTAAGAAGAGGGCTGGGTATGTAGCTCAGTGGTAGAGTACTTGCCTCGAGTGTATGAGGCCCTCTTGCCATGAGAAGAGGGAGGGAGAAGGACGGGGAACTGATGTTTGAGTAAGTCCTGGATCTCATTGTTTCTAGGTTCTCTTCAATGGCGGAGTAGGAAATACATGTGTATACACGTACAAATGCACATACACATACACACACATCAGTGTCTTTATCTCTGGGTGTGTATTAAAACCAGTATCTGATTCTAATTCACGACAGGATTTATTCTGACCATCTTACTTTTCTTCCTTCTCCATCTGTAAGAAACCTAGTTCCCATTATTCTCAGAGTATTTTCTTACCTGCTCCTGCCTCCCCCACATGTGACCAAACTCTCTCTCCTCTGGGTACTTTGGCCAGAACCTCAGCTCTGATAAAGAACAGGAAGACATTGTTTTCCATTAATTCTTTTGAGTTGAGAGTGAGACTGATGATGGTATTTCACTTCTGGGAGAGCGGCTGGGTAGAAGGGAGACACAGGAAGATTGGCTTTCTAGTGTACGGCTTTTCATTCATTGGGGATTGTTTTATACTGTCTGCTTTTATTACCTATATAGGAAAACACGAGTGTGAAATGGACTAACATCAAGATTTTAATTTTCATGATGCCTGTTTACTTAGCGTTTGAGCTTGTTTGGGGGAGAATTTGGCTTCTTAATTTTCTTCCTTAAGTATATCTGGCTCATTTCCATCCTGCAGGGAACAATACGTGTTTCTATGGGAAGTGCTATTACTGCCGAGAAACAGAGCCAGCCTGTGCTGATGGAGACATGATGGAGGGATCCATCACACTTTGGCTTCCAGATGTGTGGCCTCTGCAGAAACATCGACACCCCTGGGGCAGGACTTACCGAGAAGGCAAATTGGCCAGGTAAATGCTCCTGTGAGCCATGACTTAATTCTTGGCTGTACCACGCCAGTTGCTCTTCCTGAATGGAAGCCAGCTGTCTGTCCGGGAGTACAAAGAATCGTCCGTTATGGGCAAACCTGCTAGGTAGGTCTTGTCCCTGTCTTCAGCAGTGCTAATGTGCCAGCCATCTTTCTACCACTAAGAAGAGGAAAGATTAGTTGTGGCTCACAGTTTGACAAGTTCGGTCCACAGTCACTCAGCCACATTGCTTTGGGCTTCTGGTGGCACAGTACATCATTACAGAAGCATGTGGTAGCAGAGGCTGCTTATCCCGTCGCTTCTGGAAAGCAAAGACAAAGAAAAGGCCGGGCGGAATCTCTCTAGGCAGGGACTCCCTGGAATATCCCCATCATCTCTTCAGCCCAGGCTGAACCAGGGCTTACGAACATGGTCTTTAGGGGACATTTAAAATATGAACCATGGGGGCCTGGAGAGGTAGCTCAGGGGTCAAGAGCACTTGCTGATCTTGCAGAGGACCTGACTTTGATTTCCAGCTCTCACATTTGGTGCTCATGACTACCTGTAACTTCAACTTCAGGAATCAAAGGGCCTTTGCTGGCCTCCACCAGCAACTGTACACATGTGGTACATTTACACACACACACACACACACACACACACACACACACACACACACACACTAAAATATTCTGTTTTCGTTTTTAAATACAGCCATAGCATTGGCTTTACTCTCACAGCTTCATGCATCGCACTCTTGGACTGTTTGTAGGAATTCCAACCCTGTCTGTCAACCTCTCAAGACCCCTTTAGAATCTCCTCAGTGGAAGTGGCTCTGCAGTTCTTACACTCTGTGTGCCTGCAACACAGCATCACTCGGATGATGCCAAGGTCTGGCACTGTCTTGAGCTTATCCAAGCCCTTGTGGATCGCAGTGGCCTCCTCAGTGTCTTGATGCTTGAACACAGAGGTTTAGCCTGAGATGGGCAGCATCTTGCAGGTTCCTGGGATGGAGGCCTCAAGCTGCCTTTCCTGCCACCCTGGTGCACACTGGGCTTTTTTAATGGTGTTAGTTTTTTCAGCATCTGTACCCCTCTTGGCTTGAACTTTATATGTGTGTCTTTCCTGGTTCAGCTACAAGTTTTTCAGATCTTCTGCTCTGCATTTTGCTTCCACTTCTCACAGTAAATACAGCTAAAAGCAGCCAGTAATTCCCATACTGCTGCTTTGAAATTGCCTCTACCATATAAGCCATTCCACAAAGTCTCAGGATATGTACAAAACATAGGCAGAATATATTTCTCCAGAATATAACATGGTAAGCCTCTAATATACTTCCCAGCGGAGTCCCTGTTGCATCCACACCTGTGAGCACAGCTTTTGCGGTCCGTATTCCTGCCAGCCTCTCACCTTCCAGAACCCTCTGGTAAATTGTACTTCAGCATCCTCTGCTTTCCTTAGTTTGCGTCTTAAACGTCTCTAATCTTGCAAACCAATTCCAAAGGCCTTTGAATCTCGCTGTCAGAAATAGTCCCCACAATGACCCTATCTTGGTACCAAGGTTCTTCATTAGCTTTCTGTCACTAACAAAATGTCTAGTGTTTTAAAAGAAGAAAGGTTCTTTTGGCTCACAGTTCCTAAAGTCTCAGCCCAGCGTGGGCTGCTCTGTTGCGGTGAGGCTGTGGTAATACAGTATCAAGGTAACACACAGATGCTGTGGGGGGAAGTCCCTCTCCTCCTGGTGGATAGCAAGCAGACAGTGAGAGAAGGAAGGCCAGGGTAGCCATATCCTCCTCCTAGGTTGCTCTCAATAGCTCAACTTCCTACCACAAGCCCCCACCTCCTAATAACATCACAGCTGGCAACCAAACTGTTAGCATATGTCTTTTGTAGGACTCTTAGGAGCTAAACTCTAGTCAGGTGTAGCTGGCACTCAGTAACCCTTATGATGCTCCTTGCCTCCAGGTGGGAATATGATGAGAGCTACTGCGATGCTGTGAAGAAAACGTCCCCTTACGACTCAGGCCCACGCCTCTTGGACATCATTGACACTGCTGTCTTCGATTACTTGATTGGCAATGCCGACCGCCACCACTATGAAAGCTTTCAAGACGATGAAGGCGCTAGCATGCTTATCCTTCTTGATAATGCCAAAAGGTCAGCAAGACTGTGTTGTCTGTGTCTGTGTGCAAGAGGTGCATTCTCTAGGGTCCTGTGCTGCTCAGCCCTCTGAAACAAATGCTGCCACAAGTCAACTTGTGGGATGAAATGCTCATTTCAGTTGATGGTTTCAGAGGTTTGTTGTCTTCATTGTTGGAGGCCTGTGATGAGGCAGAATCATTATGGCTGAGAGCACATTTAGAGCAAAGCTGCTGGCCTCGTGGCGTTTGGGAAGCAGAGAACAACAACGAAAAGAAGCCGGGGTCCCCAAACCCCATCAAGAATGCACACCAGTGAATTAACTTCCTTCTGCTGGGCCCCACCTCCTGAAGACTTCTTCACCTCGGTAGTGCTACAGGCTGGCAACTAGTGCCTTGGCAGATGAGCCTGGGGCCTGGGATGTGAGGACCTGGGATCAAAACTATGCTGGACTCAATCTCCCAACAGCCTCACCTCCTAATAGCCTTGCGTTGAGGATTTAATAGCAGCAGGAGTTTGTGGGCAGCAAAAATATTCAAAGGATAGCAGCTGCTTTTTCTGCACTGTCGTCAGGGCTAGTGGGTTCTCCAGTCATTAAGGAAGATTCCAGGAAAAGAATGGAAGGGGCCGGGCAGTGGTGGTGCACACCTATAATCCCAGCACTTGGAAGGCAGAGGCAGGCGGATCTCTGTGAGTTTGAGACCTTCCTGGTCTACAGAGCAAATTTCAGAACAGCCAAGGCTACACAAAGAAACTGTTTCACCCCAAAGAGGGACCGTTTTCCCAGATCACCATTCCTTTCCTAGTGGAATACATTTCTGTGTCTGCTTTGAGTTGTTCTGTCTCAGCCTCTGAAAAGCCCCTGGGCAGTCTGTCTGGTTTGAAACTGTCAGCAGGTCTGCTTGCAGGAGTACGGTTTTCTGGAAGTCCCATCCACCTGCCTTTTGGGGACTCTAGCAGGGAGTTCTCACCACACCGTTCAAAAACTGTACAGACTTAGGGTTTCTGCCTTGTCTCTGCACTGGAGACTCACAGTGTGCGCCACAGCTGTGGTCCCGCATCGTGGCAGGAAAGGGTCCTCGTTACACAAGTTTATTTACTGTTTGATACTTTAGTTCAGGCTGTTAATGACCCTGTGTCTAATTAGTCATGCCGGGCTTATTTTTAATTTAAATGATTTGATCTGTTGGAGCATGAAATTTTCTGGGATCACAGTTGGGTTTTTACAGAATATGCTCTTGCTTTGATGCTGAAGGGAACAAACACTTGCACTAATCACTGTCTTCGTTTAACTTTCAGCTTTGGGAACCCCTCACTGGATGAGAGAAGCATCCTTGCCCCTCTCTATCAGTGCTGCATGTAAGTTATCACGGCGGGTATGTCTGCCCGCATTGCCTCTTGGGGTCAGGTACCAGGACATCGGTTTTCTTGACCGGGAAACCTCCCAGTTGCTTTTCCTACTTCTACAGCCCAGAACCCCTGGGAACCCTGACAGTGCTGAGGGTGTAGAGGCAGGTCACGCAAAGCTCAGAATTCATTGTGAATTTTGCATCAGTAAGTTTGTGGTGTCTATAGTAATGTGTGTGTGTGGCTTAATATCCCTACCACCTACTAAAAACAGTCTAGCTAGGCTTTACCTCAGCACCTGGATGCAAAAGCAGGTGGATCTCTGTGAGTTTGAGGCTCCTCTGGCCTACATGGTGAGTTCCAGGCCAGCCAGGGCTACAGAGTGAGACAATCTCAAAAAGTTTTTTAAATTACTGTTATCTGTTATAATCTTTATTCTCGGTTGTTGTATCTGGTTTCCCATTGGTTTCAATCCTCCCACCTGGAGTTTGTGTATCTTAGTTTGAAATTATCTAATCCAAAAATAACTTTCTCTAAGTATTTAATAAGTGATTGAAATATATTAGAGAATAAAGGGATTGAGAAGTAAATAGAAAATGGACCACAGTCCAGGAGCTGCTGCTTCAGGTCCCCTCCCACTGACTTGGAAGTCTGCATGTCAAGAACCAGCAGGATTTGCCTCCTCTGGCTGCAGAAAGCAGGTCTGGGAACACGCTGGTGCTGTCAGCCCAGAAACACAGCTCCTGCGGCTTTGCCGCCTTTCTTTTTTCCCTTGTCTGTCTGTCTGTCTGTTTTTCCAGTGCTGGGACTACATCCAGGGTCTTGTGCCTCCCAAGCAAGTACTTTACCATTGAGCTATACTCTACCCTCCACACACACACTCCTGCTGTGTATGTGTGTAAGGATGCGTGTGTGTGCATGTGTGTGCATGCGTGTGTGCAGGCTAGAGGACAGTCTTGGTGTCCTCCTCAGGAGCTGTCCACCTCCTTTGTTTTAGACAAGGCTTTCGTTGCCCTGGAACTCACCAGGTAGGCTAGGCTGGCGGCCGTTAGGCCCCCGAGATCCCCGTGTCTCCATCTCCCTACTCCGGGTTTACACGGATGTACCACTACGCCCAGCTTCTTTTTACGGGAGTTGTAGGGATCACACTCGAGTCCTCCTGCTTACAGAGCACTGCACTGACTGAGCTCCTCAGCCCACCCATCTCCGCCCACCCTCTTTCCTTCCTTCCATTCCCTCCTTCCCTAGCTCTTCCCCGGCCTTTCCTGTTTCTCTTTTACAGGGTCTCACTGCACACAGCCTAGGCTGCCTTCAAAATTCCAGAATCCTTGCCTCAGTCTCCCAAGTACTGGGCCTATGTACAAGTCTGTGCCACGTGCTCAGCTTTTTCTTTGTCAGTAGGAAACATTTCTTTAGATAGTAATATTTATTTACCTGGACAGCCCTAATTCTCCTTACTAATATTGGAAAACTGAGAGCAGGTGGGATACAGGCAGTCAGCAGCTGGTGTCATGACCTGCAGAGGAAGTGATGACTTTGGGAAGCTTCTGGGCCACCTTCAAGGCACATTTGTGGGCCCACAGAGTGAATCAGATTTGGCACATGCCATACTGGTACCTACATCAAGAAAGCCTCAGCAGCCGGGCAGTGGTGGCGCACGCCTTTAATCCCAGCAGTTGGGAGGCAGAGGCAGGCAGATAGATCTCTGTGAGTTCAAGGCCAGCCTGGTCTACAAAGCGAGTTCCAGGACAACTAAGACTTACACAGAGAAACCCTATCTCAAAAAATAGAAAATGAAAAAAAAAAGAGCCTCAGGAACCAGGGTGCTGTAACCCCAGCAATTGGGGGTGGTAGAAGGAGAAGGAGTATCATTCTGAGCTGTACAGCAAATCCAGGGTCTTCCTGGGCTACGTGAGACCCTGTCTGAGAAAGGACCTCAGGGGAGTTATCAGATGAGGCTGCAGCTTCAGGGGCGTCTGTCTTCTGAGAATGCGCCTGGGCTCTGCATCACTCAACGACATGCTCTACTGTAGCCGGGGCACTGAGAGAGCCCCTTCCTGATGCACTGGCCCTCTTCTGAGAAGCTTAGGAAGAGACGCGATGGAAGGAACTCTGTCCAGTTTGGAGAAGCGTATATTGAAGTGTGAAGTAGGCGTGGGTCAGTCAAGTAAAGCTCTGTTACACCGGAGAAGTGTGGTGTTCTCTGCAGCTATAATACAATTCAGAATAAGAAAAGTGCCCAGCATAGGTAGTCCATGTACAAAGATCGATCTTCCTTACTTTAAGTAGCTATAAAACAGTCTACTTCTCTCCAAGTCAGACATTTCTTCCTGCCTGGTTACTTATACTGTACCCACATTCTGTCCGGTTACCACTCCTGTACCCACAGAGAGGTAAGAACTTCTGAGATGAATCAGTTCTCTTTAGTTGGTCGTTTAGTCTGTTTCATCCTGCTGTAATAGAAAGTCACAGACCGAGACATTCCCTTTAAACTTATTTTTGGTGCGTGTGTTTGTATGCATTGTGTAGGTGTGGGCTTTGTGCCACGTGTACAGTGGAGGTCAGAGGACAACTTACGTGCTTGACTCTTTCCATCCACCTTTTACACAGTTTCCAGGGGTCAAACTCCAGTCACCAGGCTTATGTGGCAACTGCCTTTACCTGTTAAGCCATCTTACCAACCTAGAACAGAAATTGATTGGCTCACAGCTCTAGAAGCTGAGAAGCCCAATATCAAAACCCTGGCACCCTGAGAGAGCTTTCTCACTGTTAGCCACTTGGCAGGAGACAGGGCAGCATCGCTCCGCTGAACCCTCTGCCCTCATTGGTCACCCACCTCTTCAGGGTCTCAGCTCTTAGTACTGTTACAGTGCTAACTGAATCCCCACGGGATTTTATCAGGGATAAATACCTAAACCATGGCAATCAGGTAGTGAAATAACTTAGGAAAATAGATAATCTCTTTAAAAGTTTAAAGTGTGTGTGTGTGTCTGTCATTCTGTCTGTGGGACTATGCATTCTTGAATGCAGTGCCAGCAGAAGCCAGAAGAAGGTATTGGGTCCCCTGGAGCTGGAGTTACAGGCAACTGTGAGCAGCTCGGAGTCGGTTCTGGAACTGAACACAGGTCTTCTCCAAGAGAAATAAGTGCTCTTAGGTGCTGAGCCATCTCTGTCCCCAATAAAGTAGATTTTTTTTTTTTCTGGTGGGGTGGGGTGTTGAGACAGGGTTTCTCTGTGTAGCCCTGGCTGTCCTGGAACTCACTAGGTAGACCAGGCTGACCTCGAACTCAGAGATCCACCTGCCTCTGCCTCACCGGTGCTGGGATTAAAGGCATGTGCCATCATCTCTTAGCAAAAAAAAAAAAAAAAAAAAAAAAAGGGTATTTTTATAGTAACTATTTTTCTATTAATATTAGAATTTTTAAAATACAGAAATATTTGAATAAGGAGGTTACAGTCACCCCTGAGTGTCTAAGGATAACTCCTGTTAACATAATGAACGTCATTGTAATCCTATAGTTCATCACAGTAATTATACACTTTAGTTTCCCCACAGACAGGAAATGAAAGTTTTTCTCTCCAAATTTGTCATTTCTAACATACTTATCATGGGCATTTCCCCGTGCCACTCAATTTTCAAACCTTTTTAATGGCTGCATGATATTTCCCTGATGAATTAGCCTTAATTTGAAGTATTTCTTACGTGTTAGACATTTAGATTGGTTCAGTTTTCCTCTTACTGCAATGAATATGTATAAATCTTTGTACATATCTCTAATTACTCCCAAAAATTTACACATGCCAATGCAGCTTACTTCTAAAACAGAGGCAAGTCTGAAATAGAAGTGGTATTTTTTTTAGTTGAAATAATTTTAAAAATATTTAAAAATAAATGATTTTTAAAAACCTTTCCTACTATCCAAGCTTTACACTGGATTGGATAGGGAGATGTTATATAACTTCCTTTAAACCTTTTTCTTCCAGCATTCGGGTTTCAACCTGGAATAGACTGAACTACCTAAAGAATGGAGTGCTAAAGTCTGCCTTAAAATCTGCCATGGCCCATGACCCTATCTCCCCAGTGCTCTCTGATCCACACTTGGACTCTGTGGACCAGCGGCTTCTGAACGTCCTTGTCACCATCAAGCAGTGTACTGACCAGTTTGGAGTGGACACTGTGCTGGTGGAAGACAGGATGCCGCTCTCCCACTTGTAACTCTGAACAGGAAACAAGTGGGACTGATTTTTACAAAGATAAACAGCACAATCAATTCCAAATGGCATGTGATGGCCGGAAGTGGCCAGCAGCAGGTTCTGGTGGTAGAAGACAGGGTGGCCCCAGGAGTACCTGGTGTTCTCTGCAGTGTCCGCGTGGGAGCTTGTCTGTGGATTCACCTGGCGGCCTCGAAGTTGCCCATTCAAGCGGCGGGGACCAGCTCTGGTCAGTCTTGTCCCCACACCAAGGGACAAAGAGGTGTGACACTGGTTGAGGAATTGGTTCGAGAGTGCGTGTCTGCGGTAAACCTTGCCATCGTTCTCCACACCCATGGATTCTGTAGACTCACTCTGTAGTCCTTGTGTCTTCAAAAACAAAAGCAAAAACAAAAAAGGGCAGAACTAGTCAGATTGAAAATGTTCAGACAAAAGAGCACAGTGCTGGAGGAGACCCATTTCTAAGATGGAGGAAGGGAAGGGAGGAGGGTGTTGGGGCTCTTAGCTGTTGAGTGCTATGGATTTGACATCTCAGGGAAGAGAAGAGGGAGGGACTCACGCTGCAGAACCAGGAAGACGACTGACGTCCTGAAAATGAGCTTCCCCTCTATTTAGGTTCTGTTCAAATTAACCAAAATGGTCTCTAGAGGAAATATGATTACAACCCAAGCATGATCCCCTACAGACACTAATTTACCCCCTTGCCTACCTTTTGCCCAAAGTAGCAAAACAAGCTGAAATAATACAAGTTAGGTCCCTGTGATCTCTGCCATCCTTGGTTTTCCTTTTTTTCCCCTTTCTCTCATTGGCATTGTTTATTTTGAGGTAAACTGTAGACTCTTACTCTAGCCCATGCTGGTCTGGAACTTAGTATGTAACCCAGGCTGGCTTTGAACTGGCAGCAGTCCTCCTGCCTCAGCCTTCCACATGCTAGGATTGTGAGTATGAGCAACCTTGCCTGGCTCTCTAAGGTGTGAGGCATTTGACAGTGATGTTGCTGTTCCTGGGAGGTTGATGGCCTTGTCTGTGCCTTTCTTATGGGAAAGCGTCTTGCTGGTAGCTGGACCGAGCTTGTGATGTGGACCTGCAGGTAGCAGATAAGATTTTAAGCCTTCTGAGCCTTGAAACGGAAAAAGAGCCTTAATACTGTGGTTTGTATCAAATCCAGACTCTCTCTGGTCTGGAGTTCTGAACCCGTGGTGTAGTGGAATTCCTTCATCTCCTTGCAGCACTGTCAAGTTCAGGCTCAGTTCTGTATTTTGGCGGTCATTGGACATGTAAGTTACTGGGCTAGGGACAGTGTCCTCACTCAGCCTCTTGTCCAGTTCTGGACTTCTGTCAAGAACGGCCTTTCAGTGCTGTGCTTGACATTTAGATGCAGCTACCTTCTGAGTTTAAGACCCTAAGTTTCTCATGTCGAAACCTAGAAGAACTTTTTTGTTGTTTTGTCTTTTTTTTTTTTTTTTCCAGAGCTGAGGACCGAACCCAGGGCCTTGCGCTTGCTAGGCAAGCGCTCTACCACTGAGCTAAATCCCCAACCCCTAGAAGAACTTTTAAAAGGCATGAAATTAGCAAAGTTTGTACATTTTATGTACATTTTGAGTTAGATTAAGGAATAGGCTGGGTTTTTTTTTTTCAAATTTGGGTATTGAACTTAAGAAAACAAACATTAGCACAAAACACTGAAATAGTGTTAGTAAAAGGAGGTATTGAATCCAGTTTTCAGGCCATGTGGTGTGTAAGTCCCAGGAAATTCACAGTTGAATTTGAGATTAGCATGGTTAGTGCTTAGCAAAGTGGCAGCCAGCAGATGGCAGCAGTCAGCCCTCCCTCACCTCAGAGTTGACTGTGCCTCGGCACTTTGGCGGACACACCTCACTTGGGATGTTGAAGGCACAAGATTCTTGTGAGGAAGAGAACAGGCTGAAAAGCTGCTTTGAAAAAAAGTCTTATCTTTACTCCAGAATAGTTACAGAAAAGTCATTTCACACTTTGTTTTCATACTCACGGCTTTAGCAGGTCCTCAGGTCCACAGTGGATGAAGTTAGAATTGAACCAGTGGAGCCCGTGACACAACAATTAGAATATAAATCTGTGTTCTTAGGGGGTTGGAGTAAGCTAGGAAAGGTATATTTGGGCAAATCTCAGCGTGGCAGGCAGGGGTGGAGCAGCCATAAGCCTCTAGCCCCAAATTTATAGACACAAAGTTCTGGTGGGGGAAAAATATATACTTTTTTATTTATTTGTTTGTTTTTGTCTTTTGAGACAGGGTTTCTCTGTGTGGCTTTGGACCCTGTCCTGGAACTCGCTCTGTAGCCCAGGCTGGCCTTGAACTCACAGAGATCTGCCTGCCTCTGCCTCCTGAGTGCTGGGATTAAAGGCGTGTGCCACCACCACCCATGCCAAAAAAAAAACATTTTTAGAAGTATTGTAACTCTGGCCTCTTTTGGGGTCATTTACTAGAATTTGGCTGTTATAATCAAGTCATCAGAGGGATTTTGGTTAACTCTAAATTACGTTTGCCAACTGAGCATCCACATAGATGAATACATTTACTACAAGTCCAAGAAACCAGAGGCACTGCTGCTCTTCATCTGCTCCCACTTCTCAAACATGTGTCTGGTCGCAGTGGGAAACTTGGGTGTAGAATTTCTATTCTAAAACTGTTCCTTAGTCTCGGGCTGCATTGTCCTTTGGGGGAGGGCTATAAATAATTCCCTTTTAAAACAACAGGCTCTGATTTGCTGAAGGTGAATGATATTTTTTAAGGTATGTCTCCCTGTTTGTACTCAGGTTTAAAGTGTCAGACTAAATTTTAAGGAGAAAGTGGAGGAATTCGGGTACATTATTACAGATTATTTTAGCAAGTGAATCCTGACAGCTTCTCTATTTCCCCAGAGCTGGAGACAGCACTGCCATCCAAAGAAAGCCCTGTTTTCTCTAAAACGCTCACACTTGGCCTTCCCGTCTCCACGCACTGTGCGCCTTCAGCCTCTGTTCGTTCCTCCCTGATCTCTGGCCAGCAATGACCTTCTCTTGTGCTCAGTAGACAGCAGCCGTCAGCAAGCTCCCTTGCGGCCTGCCTCCTGGGTTCAGGAAAGGTGGGGAGAGGAGTTTGGGTTAGTGTGGACCTGGGTGTATTCTGCCAAGGAAAATGGATTTCCTTTGACACAAGGAAATCCTCACACTGAGAAAGGACTTGTCCAGTAAAGGTTAGAACGTTCACCGAGCGTCTCCTGAGCAGTCTGACGACCAGGTGGTCTGAGGGACACTTGCTCCTCAGGGGAGGCCGCTTGTCCCTGTATCTCTCTAGTCTGGGTGGGGAGTGGGGGCTGGGTACTGCACTGTCACAAACTATTGGGGGAAGCTGGGAATAACTTACTGGGAAGCTAATTTATTTAAGGGTGGTGTAGGCATCACTGCCCTCTTGTTTGACCTGCCTAGGATTTCCTCTTGGAGCTGTTGTGCAGACAGAGGTTGTACTTGGTAAGACACCAAACAAATTTCTAAGTGTTCTATGGGTTTCAATTCTGAAAAAAAAAAATAAAGATTTTAATATATATTATTGTATCATGTTTTCCTGTTAATACATTTTTTTTCTCCCCGGTGCTTCCTATTCCATTTTCCTGTTTTTAAGGGACAAAATGTTACACTTCGTGCCTCTACTTAAACTTCCATAGGGATTGCTTCCAGTGGGTGAGCACCATAGTCTTCCTCAGGAGTCCTTGGAAGACCCACACAGTCAGCTGTACCAGACTTCAAAGTCTTCAGGACTTCCTGGATGTTTAGTAGTTGCTTCTTGTGAGATGAAGAACTATGAATCCTGAGTAGCACAGTCCACGACAGGCAGAAACAGAGCTGATTCCCCTGATGAGAATTCTTAGGATACCCAGAATTTCATTTTGAAATGGAAATCCACTACCTGAACCCTCAACCAGACAAGCACAGTTTGGATTTCCTCTGGGTTTGCTGCATAATTGTGCCAGCATTTGATCATCACACGCAGAGGCTGAAGCCGCACGTGTGCCTCCCTGGCTCACCACATACAGACCTTATTGGTTTTGTGTGGCTGTGATAAAACACCGTGACCAAGGCAGCTTGTAGACGAAAAAGTTTATTTGGGTTTGCAGTTCAGATGGACAAGGGTCCACGATGGTGGAGTAGAGGCAGCCGGTATGGTGGCTGGAGCAGAAGCTGTGGGCTCACATCTTCAACCACAAGCTCAAAGCAGCGCAAACTTGAAGTAGCATGAGCCTTTAAGCTCTTTTTTGAGACATAGTTTCTCTGTGTAGCCCTGGCTGTCCTGGAACTTGCTCTGGAGACCAAGCTCGAACTCTGAGTTGTGCCTGGCTCTGCCTCCCGAGTGCTGTGATTAAAGGCGTGGGCCACCACTGCCTGACAGGTCTTTAACTCTAACCTCTTGCTCCGGTCACATACTTCCTCCAGCAAGGTCATAGCTCCCAAACCTCCCAACAGCACCATCAGTTGGGGACCAAGTATTCAAATGCCCAATACTGAGGGGCATTTCTCATTCAAACGATCACATAGATCTTTTTGCAGACTCCACTTGAGGACCCCTTTGCTCCTCAGCAGACAAGTACTAGAACTTGCAGCTGAGCGGCTTCCACTTTCTAAAACAGGCAGGGGTAGGCAGTATAAACCCCAGTACAAATCTACAAGGCGTTTAGACATTGTCCTGAGAATTGGAACATGCCATCCAGATGGCAGTGTTTGGCCCTTCCCTTGAGAAGCCTCTAGAGCAGTGGTTCTCAACCTTCCTAGTGCTGCGACCCTTTAATACAGTTCCTCATGTGGTGACCCCAACCATAAATTGTTTTCATTGCTACTTCATAACTAATTTTGCTACTGTTATGAATCGTAATGTAATTATCTGTGTCTTAGATGACCCCTGTGAAAGGGTCATTTGACTCCCCCACCCCAAAAAGGGGTTGTGACCCAGAGGTTGAGAATCACTGTTCTGGTGCCAGCGGAGGAGTTGCTTGTAAGGCACCCAGTGCCTCTGGAGTAATGTAAATTTGTTCTAGAAACAGGGAAGAATTTTGGAGGTGGTGAGGATTAAGGAGCACACAGGACCTCCACTGAAGGAGATTCTGGTCTAAATTTGACATGTATGTATGGCTGCTAGCCTGTAAGAGGCAGGAGTGCCACAAGTTTGAAGACCGCCGCCACATCTATGTAGTGCGTTCCAAGCCAGCCAGCACTACAATAGTGAGACTCTATCTCAACAGTGACAGAATCAAAACCCCATGACTCCAGAACTGGGGAGCTGTGAACTCAAAAGATTCAGGACCCCAAGGGCCTGCACTCCTGGCCAGTGCCTGGGTCATGGGTTTCCTGAGGTCATCCTCTTATCTGAGTGTACTCTCCCTTGAAAGAACAGTCACAGACCACGGGGGTCCCACAAGTACGGGGGTCCCACAAGTGCTCGGGGCCATGGAAGTCGAACCTTTAACGGGTGAAGTAGGACACATTCATCCTCGTGTTTTCAGAGTTTGTTTATCAAATTTGTTTATTTGGAGATAAGAGGCTTGAGTTGTTCCCAAAGATTGTTTTTAAGACATGGTTCTGGCTGGGTGGTGGCGGCGGCGGCGGCGGCGGCGGCGGCGGCGGCGGCGGCGGCGGCGGCGGCGCACGCCTTTAATCCCAGCACTCGGGAGGCAGAGCCTGGCGGATCTCTGTGAGTTCGAGGCCAGCCTGGGCTACAGAGCCAGTTCCAGGAAAGGCGCAAAGCTACACAGAGAAACCCTGTCTTGAAAAACCAAAAACAAACAAACAAACAAAAAAGACATGGTTCTGGCTACCTTCAGTGGTGTTGGAAAGATGTCTTTTGAAAAAAGAGGTCCCATCCAGATAAATTCAATAGGGTACTGAGTACCCACTTTCTCTTAGAAGTAGCTGCCACATGCAGATGTTGACTCAGTAGGGCTGGGGTCCCACACTCCAGATTTTGCAGTTATGACCCGCTCTTAGGCAAAGCCAACAACGCCTTAGGTCTTTGGACTATGCTGAGTAATGCCCAACGCTCACAGCTTCCTGTAGTTCCCACAGAGGCCTCTAGATGTCCCCGTCACCCAGGAGCTCTCCGGGCGTTGTCGAGCCACTAGCCCCAATCCCTCAGAATGGGATATGACGAATTTACGGAAATACTTCGAGACTTACAGAAACACTGATGTGTGGATTTGTTGTTTCAATGTGGGGACGACTTCTTGGTGAAATGCTTACCTCAAAGTTTGTTTGTTTTTAAGGAATGTCTCGAAAGCAAGTTAGTCTAAGGAGTTTATCTGCAGTGAAATGCTACATCTGGACCATAGCATCTTATTACCAGCACGACCCAAAACTGAGACCCAAAAAAAAAAAAAAAAACAAGCAAACAAACAAACAGAGACAAGACCGCGGGTTATTCGCCTCAGTAGAATGCCGAATGCCATTTATTGAAGGAGGGAGGAGGTCTTAAATACAGGCTTACAGCACAGTGGGAGAACCCCGGAGGGCAGATGTTTTACATACTTGCATCCTAGCTGTTTACACCAAATGCAGGAGACACCCGTAAGCTGTTTTAGGAGGAAGGAAACCAGCAGGGAATCAGCATAGGGAGGACACCTGGTCAAGGTCAGCAAGCAAGGCAACAGCTACCAAAGGAAGGGTGGGGGGCAGGGTCCACCAGACTAGCCCCCATTTACACTGTAATTCTCCAGTACACACTAGTAGTAACTAGAGTCACCCGTTCCTTCCAGTATGCTGTTTTACACATCCCATATAAATGCACACACTTGCTGCATGAGGAAATAAAAGTAGCCATGTACTGAATATGAAACTCCTCTGACTGCTCTTCACAGCATCCCTGACTTGAAATGTGGGTGGAGCAGTCAGGGTGTAGACCAGTGAGGCGACGCCCACGTCCTACAAACAGAATATAGGCCTATTCAGATAATCAGACTCATTCCTGCTCAAATAATTTATTGAGTGAGTTAATGTTTTCAAGTAAGCATAAAGGTGTGCGTTAGCTTCCTGCCACTATGGCAAATACCAGAGGGAGTCATCAAGGAGAAAGTTTATTTGGTTCATAGCCTTGAAGGTTCCAGTTCATTACTCATGGGCCTCTGGAGAAAGCGGGCAGCCCACATCATGGCAGGAGCAGTTGGTAGAGCAAAATGGCTCACCCACCCACCCAATAACCCAAAGACCTCTACTAGGGTTCACCTCACTAATTTCTACCACCTCCCCATGATGCCAAGTATGGGACTAAGCCTGGGTCTTTAATGTTTTCTGAACATTGACAGTCTCACTATGTAGCTGTAGCTGGCTGGAACTCGGTATGTAGACCAGGTTGGCCCTGAACTCACAGAGTTCTGCCTGCCTCACCATGCATGTCTGATCAGCTTCAAAACTTAGCGAGGAGTGGGCAGGCACTTATCCTAACTTCTGTAATTCTTAAGTGATACCATTTCCCCTTACTCGGGGGTTTCCAAAACTCAATACCTCCCGACCTGACTTCCTCTTGCTTTTCCGGGATTGGCACCCATGAAAGCCTACTGCTAGCTGATGTTTCATTTCCCTCTCCAGAGGACCAGGGGCGACCTTGGCCGTCCAGCTCAATCCTGCTCATATTCCCGGGGCAGCGTCTCCGTCCAGCTGACTCTGTGCCAACAAAACGCTTCCTGCTTGGCCGGTTTGATCGCCTTCCTCGTCGTGGGGTTGGCAGAAAGCTGACCTCCTGCGAGGGCTGGGCACCAAAGGGAGTTCTTATGTGGGAGGCACAGCTGAGTGGTTGTCAAAGGCCATTTAAGGGCCTGCTGTCACTCCCTTGAGGTCACGGGCATGCCCCAGAATAGACTGAGTCCCGTGGGGTGGACAGAGGCTCAAGACGGGCTCGGGATTCCTGCAGTCCGGGACACCAGCTTGGGTTTCGGTTCCGGTGGGTTCTGGGTCTGAGAACAGCAGCTGGCTCGTACTCCGCGGAGGGCGGGCCGGTCACCATAGCGACGCCAATCCTGGGCGGCGCCGGCTCGCGCGGGAGCCCGTGAGTCCTGGGTCCCCGACTCTTCGAGGCGGAAGCGCGCCGGGAGAGTCATGCTTCGTGGGACCCTCTGGCTGTTGCTGCTGATGCCACTGCGCCCCCCGGGCACGCAGGGCCACCGTGGTGCCAAAAGCCAGGGGCAGGAGGCCGAAGAGCCGGCCCCTTGGCCGGGTGTCCAACGCCTGCAGGAGCAGCTGAGGACGGTCGGGGCCCTGTCCAGACGGTACTGGACGCTCTTCAGCTGCTCCGTGTGGCCCGATCACTGCGAGGACCAGGAGGCCCCCGCGCCGCCGCTGGGTAAGAGCGGTCCCCGCCGCCCACCCCCTCGCTCACCTGCCAGCCTCACCAGCGTCGCGCACCTAGCGGGAGCCGCGGCAGCCTCCGCGCATTAGGAGGCCTGGTCCCTGCACATCTGGCGCAGCCCCTGGGGACAGCAAGAGGTCTGGCTGCCTGCCCGCCGCGCCTCACCTGCCCCGATTCCTCTAGACGCTCACAGTCTCCCCATTCTTGCCCGCCTGACTGATGACTTAGAGAAAGTCCTTTGTAGACACAACCGGTGATTGTCCCCCAACCCCAGATACGTTCGCCTCTGCGGCTCGTGGAGGCAGCGCTGGAGCACATGCGGGAGCCTGGCAGGGAGTTGGGACCCGGACTCTGGTTTGGGCGCCGTCACTGAGAAACCTCAGGGTTGTCTCTCTCATCACCGTCTCGCCATCTCATAGCATCTCCTTTCCAGGCTGGAGCCTTCCTCTGTGGGGCCGGCGGTCCCTGGATAGGCTCGCCGAGTGGTTCTGCCGCTTTCAAGACTGCTGCGCCCGTGGCGGGGACTGCAGGATCTCCAACAACTTGACAGGTTGGCGCTGGCATGATTTCCAGGGAATCTGGGGGGAGGGGGTTGGCGACCGTGGAGAAGCGACTAGTTGAGAAACTTAACCCTCCAGCATTCCCCCTCCAGTGAGAGGAAAGTCAGGTGTGCGGTTGTTTGAGGGTCTCTTCTGACAAGGTTTTGAACGCCATCATTTCCCCTCCAACAATAGGAACGACAGGGCATCAACCCTGATGGTGTCCTTAGCGGATAGTACATTCTACTATTTAGGAAGGAGTGTCCAAATACTTCCTGTGTGGGTGTCTTCGTAGAGCTAGTGCTTAGGCATGCTAGGCAAGTATCCCACTCCAGCCCTCCTCTTGGTTTTTTTGTTTTGGTTTGGTTTGCTTTGGTTTGGGTTTTTTGTTTTGTTTTGGTTTTGGTTTTTCGAGACAAAGTAGCTTTGCGCCTTTCCTGGAACTTTGTAGACTAGGCTGGCCTCGAACTCATGGAGATCCGCGTGCCTCTGCCTCCTGAGTGCTGGGATTAAAGGCGTACCCCACCACTGCCTCGCCTTGTTTTGTTTTTCAGAGTATGAAGATACTTAGATCAGGGGCAAAAAGCCCTTTACCCCCCCCCCCCTCACCCCCCCCCACCCCCCCACCCCCCCACCCCCCCCCCACCCCCCCACCCCCCCCCCACCCCCCGTGCCCCAAATGTGAGAACATGTTTTATCTTTAGTTTAAGGGTGTGAAGCTTACTGGGATCTATGAACGTGTCACACCCAGCTGAGGCAGCTGGCAGGAGACAGTGAGATGTGGGCTAGGCCCCTGTCACCATCTGTCCCCAGTCTAGACTGAAGATGTCTCTGCAGTCATGCCCTACTATCCCTGGGAGAGGGTCTGAGGAAGAAAAGTTCATCTCTGTTGAGCTGTGTGTACCAGGCCTTGTGCTGAGCTCTGGGGAGACTGAGACTCTGACACAGCCTACCCCTGTAGTTCAGCTTTCTGCAGCCCCATGTTGGAAGGCCAAATGTTGTTGGTTGGTTTTTACTCTTTACTCTTTTGGGGGGCCAGCCACCCAGCTCCCAGATAAATCACATACAGAGGCTTATTCTTAATTTTAAATGGCTGGCCTTAGCTTGGCTTGTTTCTAGCCAGCTTTTCTTAAATTAGCCCATCTATCTTTTGCCTCTGGGCTTTTATCTTTCTCTGTTTCTGTATACCTTCTCTTTCCTTCTTACTCGGTGTCTGCCTGTGTAGCTGGGTGGCTGGCCCTTGAAGTCCTTCTCTCCTTGTTCTCTTGCTTCTTCTCTTCTCCCAGCTTTCTCCTCATATTTATTCTCTCCACCTGTCAGCTCCACCTCTCCTTTCTCCTGCCTTGCTATTGGCCGTTCAGCTCTAATTAGACCATCAGGTGTTTAGACAGGCACAGCAGTAACACAGCTTCACAGAGTTAAACAAATGCAACATAAAAGAATGCAACACATCTTTGCATCATTAAACAAATGTTTCACGGTATAAACAAATGTAACACAGCTTAAAATAATATTCTACTACATGCCCCCTTTCAGGAGAGCTAGGACCTGAACAGGAATAGCAAGTAACCTCTCAGAGGATGGCTGAGAGTAGAGAGCCAAAAAGCTGATCCAAAATTGTGGTTAAAATGTTCCTAAGAGCTGGAGAGAGGGCTCAGCAGCTAGGAGCCACCGCTTTTACAGAGGACCTAAGTTTGAGTCCCACCACTCACGTTAGGCAGCTCACCACTGCCTCTAATTGCACTTCTGGGGGAGCTGACACTCTCCTGACTTCTGCATGCAGCTGTACTCATCTCCATATACCCATAACTGTACACACACATACACATGTAATTAAAAAATAAAACAGTTTTTTTTAAATGTTATTTTCTAGGGGAGGGGGAGATGGCTCACTTGGTACAGCACCTGCAGGAAAAGCATGGGAATCTGAGTTCTGATCCCCAGCACCCACATAAAAGCTGGGCACAACACTGGACACTGTAACTCCAGGGTTAGGGGCGCAGACAGGTGGGTCTCTGAAGCTGTTAGTCAGGTTGTGGAGTGGATGAGCAGCAGGTCCGGGGGCAGACCCTGTCTCAACAACAACAGAGGAGCAGGTGAGAGTGCAAGGAAGATGCCTGATGCTGACCTCCACTCCCGTCACACCCACAGGAGCACAGACACACAACACACAGTGTTCCTTTGTAGGCAGATGTGCTGTCCTACCCCTGTGATCCAGCACTTGGGAAACTGAGGTGGGATCATGATTATGTAAGGTTAGCCTAGGATATGTAGAAAGACCCAGTCTCAAAACAAAACAACTGTCTGTCTCTAAGTTTAACCGGCAAATGTCTGTGGGGGGATAACCTGGGCTTCTTGATTTATCTTTAAAGTAAGGCTACGGGGGGGGGGGGGGGGTGGGGGGGGGGGGAAGCTCTGTCTCCTGAGAGAAACAGGAAGTTCTTTTTTCCATTATAAACCAATCCATAGCATTCCATGGATGAGCACTGCCCTCAGAAAGCCTGCGCACCCCCAGCCTGCCCGCATGCCTATAAGTAAATACTAACCAACCTTCTCCTTCTGTACTTTTTATTATGTAGGTGGATCTGTTGCATGCTGCAGGTAGTTAAGAGTTGTAACTCTCCCGTGTGGTATTCAGCGTCAGACACAAAACCTGTTCTGACAAGGGCCCTGTGGTTTAATCCTTTGCAAAATTTCCCAATTTCCCCAGAGGCAGTTCCTCACCTGGCGCTTGTCTGGAGTTCTCCTACCCCAGCTCTTACATCCCTGTCACCTTGAAGCACAAACTAAACTTTGGGTTACTTACTTAGAAAAAGTGCCAGTGGGGCTGAGGTGACGGCCCGGGGTATAGTGCGTGTCACACAGCGTGAGGATCTGAGTCCAATCTCCAGCACCCATGTGAAAGCTAGCCTTACTTTAAAGATAAATCAAGAAGCCCAGGTTATCCCCCCACAGACATTTGCCGGTTAAACTTAGAGACAGACAGTTGTTTTGTTTTGTTTTGAGACTGGGTCTTTCTACATATCCTAGGCTAACCTTACATAATCATGATCCCACCTCAGTTTCCCAAGTGCTGGATCACAGGGGTAGGACAGCACATCTGCCTACAAAGGAACACTGTGTGTGTTGTGTGTCTGTGCTCCTGTGGGTGTGACGGGAGTGGAGGTCAGCATCAGGCATCTTCTTGTGCTCTCACCTGCTCCTCTGTTGTTGTTGAGACAGGGTCTGCCCCCGGACCTGCTGCTCATCCACTCCACAACCTGACTAACAGCTTCAGAGACCCACCTGTCTGCGCCCCTAACCCTGGAGTTACAGTGTCCAGTGTTGTGCCCAGCTTTTATGTGGGTGCTGGGGATCAGAACTCATGCACACCCACTGGGGTGAAGAGCTGTGACAGGAGGATGTCTAGGGCTTGGTGGAAAAGTCAAGTCTAGCTACACCCCAGCCCTGGGTTCAGATATCTTGCCTTAAAAAACAAGGTAGAAGCTGGCAGTGGTGGCGCACACCTTTAATCCCAGCACTTGGGAGGGCAGAGGCAGGCTGATCTCTGTGAGTTTGAGGCCAGCCTGGGCTACAGAGTGAGTTCCAGGACTGCCAGGGCTGTTACACAGAATCTCAAAAGACCAAAGCAACCAAGATAGAAAGTGGTTGAGGAAAATGCCTGATGTGAACCTCTGGCCTTCACATGTGTGTGCAATGCCCCTACACACACACAGGAACATACACACTCACAAAAAGAGAGAGAAGGAAGGAAGGAAGGAAAGGGGGACAGACCACATGTGTGTCTGGAGCAGGGTCTAGCACAGGGTGGAATCTCAGGCCACGTGCAGGTCGGGAAGTCTGAATGTGGATTTACAGCAGGTCACCGCTCTCTCTTTTAGATGACCCACTATTCTTCAGGGCCTGGAAGTCCCAATTTGAAGCATCCTAGTTCTGATGATAGGGAGACAGTGGCAATTTTCCCTTAGCGGTACCAGTGGTTTTGAGACGAAGCAAGGTGATGGCGGTGATTTGTTGTTGTTGTTTGGTTTTTGGTTTTTTCCCAAGACAGGGTTTCTCTGTGTAACAGCCCTGGCAGTGTTTTGTAGTAGACTGCCACCTGCTCACATTCCAGAGTTCCCTCTGGGTTGGCTCGAGGTGCCCAGCCGATCGGTCTTGATAATAGGTTAATGGCTGGTACCTTACCCCAGCTGGCAGCCCAGCTTCCCTACCTCCAGTCCGTGTCCCTTCAGGGGGCAAAGGAAAGCAGGCCGGGCTTTGGGGAGCTGCTCAAGTATGTGCCAGGTTGGGACGGGATGGCAGACAGAGAACAGGAACTCCTGAATCGGGGATGGGAGCCCCTGGAGATGTGGTGGGATCCCCCCACACTGGCCTGTCCACCCATTGTGGCATATCCAGAAAGGATAATTCTAGTCTCCAAAGTTCAGTCTTGATCTCTCAGTTCTTCAGGAAATGGCCTTTGAATACCATTTGCTGTGAGGTCTGCCTTCTTGCTTCTTGTTCTGGGGTCACAGGGATCAGATGATAGACAAGCTGGGGTGTGGCGGGGAAGAGGTACACACAAGCCCCTGTGCCTCTCACTGTGGCCCCTTTCCTCCTTCCAGGCTTAGAATCGGACCTGCATGTCCGGCTGCATGGCCAGCATCTGGCTAGCAAGCTGGTCCTACGAGCAGTGAGGGGCTACTTGGAGACCCCCCAAGTAGACAAGGCCCTGGCTCTGTCATTCCATGGCTGGTCTGGCACAGGCAAGAACTTCGTGGCCCGGATGCTGGCGGAGAACCTGTACCGGGATGGACTGAGGAGTGACTGTGTCAGGATGCTCATCTCCACCTTCCACTTCCCACACCCCCAAGTATGTGGACGCCTACAAGGTGAGGCCGCCGTGCTGGGAGCCTCACTGGCCTGGCGTGGGGGAGGCCCCTGTGCTGGGTGGATGCTGACACCACAAGGAGGCAGGCTCCAGAGCAGACGAGTACGGGATGCGGATAGGCAGCTGCAGGGCCAGAACCTGTCCATGGGCGGCCACTCCCTGCCCTCTCACAGAGGCAGCCTAGAGCACCAGGCGGGGAATACTGATGTTTCCAGAACACACTGGAACTGTTCCCATGACTGCTGCACACTGGAGCCAGGCACAGCGGCAACAGAGTGTGTGTGTGTGTGTGTGTGTGTGTGTGTGAAGAGTAATGAAATGAGGCTGAGTGTGGCGGCACATGCCTGTAATCCCAGCACTTGTTGGCTGAGGCAGGGAGATCTTGAGTTCAAGACCAGCCTGGGATGCACAATGAGAGCCTGTCAAAAAACCAAACACAGTGATATGTGTAAGGAATAGAAAAAAGCATAAACTTTACCATCCCCCTCCCCAAAGGCCACAGCCTCCTTCACTTACTACAGTTAGCATTGTGAACTTCTCATGGTCACACGCACGCACACACACGCACACACACGGTCACACGCACAGGCACACACATGCACATCCTGGACCTCTGCTGCTATCAGACCTCTTCCCAGCCGTTTCACACCACTGTAGTTTCAAAGACAGGGGCATGTTCGGCTGGCTTGTTTCCATGCCTCTAGATGTGCACTGGGCCATGAACCTGTGGCTGTATTCAAACAGGAATGCACGAGTTAACCCTGACATCAGCCTAACATGCAGAGGGGCTTGTTTCAAACGGCTTGTTCGGGTTTTCTTTCCCCCCCCTGAAGTGTATCATTGAACCATGAATGCAACAATAGTGATTTGATCCTTCTGCCTCAGCCTCCCAAGGGTTGGATCACAGGCATGCACTATGCTCACTTTTAAAAACGTGGTTGCTAGAAATTGAACTGAGGGCCACCAGCATGCTGGTCAAGCAGTCTACTACCTAACTACACTGCAGCCATTTAAAAAAGACATGCACTGGTGTATCCTCACATCCTATCATATGTGACTCCCCAGTTCTTCCCATAGCAGGTTGTTATATGCCAGCAAGCCGGTGGACACATGCTCCTTTACTGTTTTGCTCTTTGAAGTTTTTGGGTTTTTTTTTCCATTTACACATATAGTAAAATTAGCCTGAACATGAGCAAACTGCCGTGACCGCACACATGTTGGCTCTCAACTGTAGTTCTTGGGTGTGTGTGAACTGGGAGGATTATGTCAGCCTTGAGGACAGAGCTTTCCTGAGTCACCTGGTAGTTTCAGTATGGCCTTGGAGGGCAAAGACAGGGTGTCCTGAGTCTCAAGATGTGCCCGGGTCAGGAGTCGACAGCCGAGCTTTCCCAGGAGGAATTCTCTGGAGCTGACTGCAGCAAAACTCCTTGAGAACGTCACTTCCCCACTAGAAAACTGACGTGTGCACACACTCACATGCCTGGGTGTCGGAGGGGTGAAGATGCCAAGGAGGCCGAGATGGGTAGGTAGTGTAGATTAGCCAAGCTGCCTGAGAAGCCGCAGTGCCCAGCTCTGAGAGAATCACAAAGCTTGTGTTCGGTGGAGGGTTTACTGTCCTGTGGTGCGGCGCCTCTGTGGTAACTAACCCTCAAGTTACACATTGCCTGTGCACCAGATAGAGCAGGCTGGCTCCCTTGAGATCTCGGCCCTGTCTGGGTACCAGTGGGCGGTCTGCTTCTGAGCGGCCAAGGGCGTGGGGTTGGCAGCCTCTGGGCCCTTGTGCCTTTCCTCTATCTCTGGGTTGTTAAGCCCAACATCTCTGCCCCTGGGGAGGGTGAGGTGGCCCTTAGCTCCTGGGTGGGACTTCTTTAGTCCTAGAGAAGGCACCTGGCGGATGCGTGTTCCCCGGGCAGAGGGGCTTCTCTCACGAACTTCCCAGGTGGAGATGCTCAGCCCAGGTATAGGAGAGTCACCTGGGAAGCTTGGGTGGGACCCGAGCCAGGGCTTAGGTTTGGTAGTTATGGTGGGTGGAGCCCAACCTCGGTGCCCCACTGCACCTGAGCTGAGGAGACAGGAGCCCACACTCCTCCGAGGTCTGCAGCTCCCGGGGTCCCCGGGGTCCCGTGCAGGAGGAGCTGCGGTGGCAGATGCAGGAGACGCGGCGGCGCTGCCAGCAGAGCATGTTCATCTTTGATGAAGCGGAGAAGCTGCACCCGGAGCTGCTGGAGCTGCTTGGACCGCACCTGGAAGCCAGGGTCCCCAAGGCCCAGGGCGTGGAACCCCCACGAGCCATCTTCCTCTTTCTCAGGTGAGGTCTGAGCGGGAGGCCGGGGAGTGGGGGGCTGGCTGGCAAGAAGCCTTCCGGAAGCCAAAGCCCCACAGCTAGGAAGCAGGCAAGGGACGCTGAGGCCTCCCTGCTCACCCCCCTTCCCCAGCATTCTCTGGGGTCACTTCCCAGGGACTCTGGCAGGAGCTAGAAAAGAGGAGGTGCCTGTCTGCCCAGCCACCTCAGAGGCCTTTGCAAAGAGCTTCGGAAGCATCGGGGTTTGTTTTGGGGTTTTTTGTTTGTTTAGGTTTTTCGTGCAATGTGTTTTGATCATATTCACACACACACACACACACACACACACACACACACACACACACACACACACCACACACACACACACACACACACACACACACACACACACCCCCAATGCCAGTCACTAGATCCATTCCCTACCTTCCTACCCATCCAACTTTGCGTCCCTTAAAAAAAACAAAAACAGCCGGGCGGTGGTGGCGCATGCCTTTAATCCCAGCACTCGGGAGGCAGAGGCAGGCGGATCTCTGTGAGTTCGAGGCCAGCCTGGTCTAAAAAGTGAGTTCCAGGAAAGGCGCAAAGCTACACAGAGAAACCCTGCCTTGAAAAACCAAAAACAAAAACAGAAAAACAAACAAAAAAACCCATCAAGACCAATTTATGAATCCCAAATATTCTTGGATGTGTGGTCTTCCACTGGAACGGGGTCGACTTCCCAAGGGCTACAGGAAGCACAAACAGACTCACCCTCTCCCAGTATCTAGTAATTGCTGAACCAGCTCCTCAGCTAACGTGGGACGTAGTGCCCAGCTCCCCTCTCCTCATGGGATTTGCTTTGCCTTGGGCTTCACCGATCTTGTGCATGCTTTCACAACAGGCTGTGAGTTTCTATGTGCAGCTGCTCTGCTGTGTCCAGAGCTCTGTTTCCTTGTGATCATCTACCACCCCCAGCTCTTACACTCTTCCTACTTCCCCTTCCGAAATGATCCTTGAGCCTTTGGAGGAATGGGTGAGGTATTTATGTTCCATTTAGAGCTGGGCACCTCGGCCAGTTGTAGGTCTCTGTGCTAATCATTTACTGTGGATCGAAGCCTCTCTGATGAAGGGTGAGAGATGCAGTAATCTATGGGTATAGTGATAAGCCATTAGAAGTCCATTTAATACTATGTACATTTAGCAGAATAATAGTGGTGGTTCTCAGGGGCTGGAGAGATGGCTCAGAGGTTAAGAGCACTGACTGCTCTTCCAGAGGTCCTGAGTTCAATTCCCAGCACCCACATGGTGGCTCACAACCATCTGTAATGAGATCTGGTGCCCTTTTCTTGCCTGCACTCATACATGCTGTATACATAAATAAATCAATCTTAAAAAAATAAAATGGTAGTTCTGTAGGGCCAATGACATGTCTAGGGCCAATGACATGTCTAGGCATTGCTTCTTGGCCCAGTAATGGTACAGGCATTGAGTTTCAATGTGTGGTGTGAGACTTAGATCCAACCAGAAAGTGGGGGCTACTCCCACGCCTTTCCCCAGCATCTTTAAATGTTATTTTATCTCTTCCTGTATTCCCTCCTTTACTTTGCCCTCTCTCCACCCCCCAATTTAACCCTTCCTGCTCCATTATCCCCTTTAACTCTATACCACTGTGCTCCATCTTCCCTCCTTTGGAAACCTCTCCCTGTGGCCCATAGTAATTTCCTGACCTCTGTGAGTAATTCCAAATGAAACACACATATCTGAAAGTTTAATGCTAACTTTCAGAAATGAGAGGAAGCTTGACATTTGTCTTTCTGGGTCTAGGTTACTTCAGAATGACGGGTTTGAGCTCCATGCATTTACCTGTGAATTTCATCATTTCCTTTTTCTTGAGAGTTGAACAATACTCCATTGTGTAAATATACCTCATCTTCATTATCCATTCCTCAGTGGATGGACATCCAGGTTTTCATTTCCTAGCTATTGTGAGCAGGGCAGCAGTGAACACGGATGAGTATGTATCTGTATAGTAGGAAATACAGTTTTTTGAATGTATGCTCAAGACTGGTGTGGCTGGAGCGTGTGCTCGCTCTTAGGTTTTTGAGGGTTCTCCACACTGATTTCCATAGTGGCTGCACCAATTTGCACTCTCAAGAGCAGTGAGTAAGTGTTTCCTTTCCCCACATCCATGCTGGCATTTGTCATTGGTTGTTTTTTGTTTGTTTTTTAATCTTAGCCATTCTGACTAGGGTAAGATGTAGCTGGACTTTCTTTGGACCACCAGCTCCCAAATAATGACACAGAGACTTCTTATTAATTATGAAAGCTCAGTCTTAGCTTAGGCTTGTTCCCAACTTGCTCTTACAACTTAAATTAACCAGTTTATATTAATCTACATTCTGCCACGTGTCTCCTTACCACTCCTCCATACTGTATGTGTGGCTTGCTCTGTCTCGCTGGTGAATTCTGCCTCTCTTTTTCCCAGAGTTCCTATCTCTTCCCGGAAGTCCCGCCTATCCTCTCCTGCCTAGCTCCTGTTCAGCTCTTTATTAAACCAATCAGAAGGTGCTTTAGCAGAGACACATTATCCTACAACAGTAAGATGAAATCTCAAAGTAGTTTTAATTTGCATTTCCCTGATAGTTAAGGATGTTGAAAATTTTTTTAAAATGTTTCTCAGTGTGCTGGCTAGTTTATGTCAACTTGACACAAGCTAGAGTCGTCAGAGAGGAGGGGGCCTCAATTGAGAAAATGTCTCCATAAGATCCAGCATTTTCTTAGTGATCAATGGGGGAGGGCCCAGCCCTTGTGGGAGGTGCCACCCCTGGGCTGGTGGTCCTGGGTTCTGTAAGAAAGCAGGCTGAGCAAGCCACGAGGAACAAGCCAGTAAGCAGCACCCCTCCATGGCCTCTGCATCAGGTCCTGCCTCCAGGTTCCTGCCCTGTTTGAGTTCCTGTCCTAACTTTCTCCAGTGACGAACAGCAAAGTGGAAGTGTAAGCCTAATAAACCCTTTCCTTCCCAGTTTGCTTTTGGTCCTGGTGTTTTATCACAGCAACAGTACCCCCGACTAAGACAGCCATTTGTATTTCCTTCGTCTTTTGAGAACTCTGTTTAGTTCCATGTCCCATTTTTAATTGTTTTTTTCTTGATGTTTTTTTGAGTTCTTTGTACACCTAGGCACTAACTCAATCAGATGTGTAGCTGTCCCCCCCCCCCATTTTGTAGGCGGCCTCTTCACTCGAGTGATGGCGTCCTTTGCTGTACAGAAACCTTTTAGTTTCATTAGGTCCTGTTTATTAATTGTTGATCTCAATGCTTGTGCTACTGAGGTCCTATTCAGAAAGTTCTTTCATGTGTGTATGAGTTCAAGTGTACTTCCTATTTTCTTGATCAAATTCAAGGTATTGGGTCTTAGGTTGGGGTCCTTGATCCACCTGGAATTGTGCAGGGTGAGAGATAAGAATGAAGTTTTATTCTTCTACATGTAGCTATCCAGTTTGACTAACACCATTTTTTTTTTTAAATGCTGTCTTTTCTCTAATGTGTTTTGTTGGCATCTTTGTCAAAAGGCAGGTGGTGGCTGTGGGTATGTGGGTTGATATGGAGGTCTTTAATCGATTCCACTGAGCAAGTCTGTCTGTATCCCAGTACCATACTGTTTTGTTTTTTTTTTTCAATTTTGTGAACTGCATTGGAATTTTAATGGGGATTGTGTTGAATCTGTAGATTGCTTTTGGTAAGATGGTCATTTTTACAGTATTAATCTATAAACTATGGGTGGTCTTTCATCCTCTGGTATCTTATTCAGTTTTCCTTTCTTTCCTTTCTCAGTGTCTTAAAGTCTTCATTGTACGTGTTTTTCACTTCCTCAGATTTATTCCAAGATATTTTTGAGGCCATTGTGAATGGGTTCGTTCCCTTGATCTCAGTCTTGGTGTGTTTGACATTTGTATATAGGAAGGCCAATTTTTGAGTGTTTTATATTTTGCTACTTTACTGAAAGTATTAGCTGCAGTTTTCTGGTGGAGTCTTTAGTGTATAGAATCACATCATCTGCAAATAAGGATGCTCTGACTTCTTTCCTTGTACACCTCAGTCTCCTCCACGTGTCCTGCTCTCTAGCATTGGGTTAGACAGGAAGGTACAGAGTGAACATTCTGCCATTCCTGATTTTAGTGGAAATGCTTTGAGTTTTCCTCTATTTAGGATGGTGTTGGCTTCCTGTGTATTCCATTTATTTTGTTGAGATAAGTCTCCTGTTATCCCTATTCTCCCCAGGACTTTTATCATGAATGGATGCTGGATTTTTGTCAAAGTTTCTATGTCTAATGAGATGATCCATCTATTTCTGTGGTGGATTTTATTTATTAATTTACATATGTTGCTTCATCCCTGCATTTCTGGAATGAAGGTGACTTGATCATGGTGGGTAAATATTTTATTGAGAATCCCACATCTTTCCATCAGGGAGATTGGTCTATAATTTTCTTTTTGTTGTTGTTGGTTCTTTGGTGTTGGTATGAGAATGAAACTGGCTTCATAAAAGGGATTTGACTGAGTTTTTCTGTTAGTTCTTTGAAGGTCAAGTAAAATTTTGCACTGAATCCATCTGGCCCTGGGTTTTTATAGTTAGGTGCTTCTAAAAATTTGTTAGATCATTCATTTTATTTTTTTATGTGTGTTTTACCTGCATGCATGTCTGTGATAGTTGGGAGATCTTTAGTTACTGTTTCAATCTCACTGGGTGCTGTGGGTCTATCTCACTGGGTGCTGAGGGTCTATCTCACTGGATGCTGAGGGTCTATCTCACTGGATGCTATGTTCTTCTGAAAGGCCAGCTTTCAGCAGTGCCAGAGAAACTGGAAAGGAGGTGTGGTGTCAGCAAACTGCACACACACACAGCAGACTTCTTTCTAGGGCCAACATTTAATCACTTTATTTTTGTTTCTCTGCTGGCGGTCTTCCTTCTGTTATTTCTCTGTTCTGTTCTTTTACCCTGTCGATTTCCTTTTTTTTTTCTTCCTAG